CAATCAACGAGCACATGCCAACCCATATATAAGAGATAGAGTTTGAATCCCGTGCGTTCCAAAAATATAGGCCTAGGGAGTTAATCACCTTGACTTATATACATCATATCAATTTCTTTACAAGTGACGATCCAAGGAGACAGCGATTAGGAGGAATGATAGCGGAAAGGGTGCGGACCGCAAACCAATAGTGTACGGAAGTAATAAGACACGTCTGTAGGTACCGTCACACTCCGCTAGGCCGGGCGGGCCTAACCCTGTGCTCAGCATTGTTTAGGCCCAGTCTATTAATCTGTGCTTTGCTCTTGATGTCATCGTCGATCGTCATGATCCCGCCCTCTCTTTAACTATGAATCGCCGCCGGATTTCTGCTCGAGAGATTTGCTTTTCGTCTAGGGCGCGTGCTCGGCTAAATGTTGGTTGACTTCCGAAGGTGGAATTAATTTGAAGCACGCATGATGACGATTTCAATTTACTGTCTACGTATTTTGAAGAAGCCGTGATTGGGTCAACATTCAACAACAATGTAAACTACATTGAAGTTGAATAACTAACCTTTCCGAGCTTCTATATGGCACGACATATCAGACATAAGTTTTAAAAAGTTGAGGCAGAGCAGGGTAAATATTGTTTGATATATAATTCAAATTATTCATTTGAGTTAAGACTAGTAAAAACGTAATTTAGGTGAGATAATATTGTGTTATAAGTATATAGTTAGGTACCTAATTTGTTCACAATACATCCACAAACTCTTTTAAAATTTATCACCTTTCGACAAAACATTTGAACATGTGCTATTTTTAGATACCAATGCGTGAACAAAAAGTAAAATTTTGAGTTAATCGTCGGTGTTTCCTACACACTATTTAACTTTAAATGTAGTTTTATTTTTTCCTACCAAAAAAGATCTACGTTATCAGGAAATGTATAATTTTAAACCATACTTTAAAACACTTGCATATAATCAAGTTTTGATGCAAATGCAATCTGTGTTGAACTATAAGTTTATGCCATGAAAATTTTAACTCAGGTTTAGGAAATATCTTTTTTAGAAACTATCGCTTAATCGTTTTGGTAGGAGTGGTTTACGTGTTAATGGTTTTTTTTTGTTTGATGCTCGAAATGTGAGTGAGTAAGTCGGCATACCAACATTTGGGTAAGTAATGAAAGTGCCAACCGGTGTGGTAGACCTCCAAACTGTCCAATACACGACAAGTAGAACCATAGATTATAAATACTCCCTTAGGGATAATTTACGGTAGAACACAGAGTGACACTAGTGGCAGAGACTGACTTGGTGTCAGAGTAGAAGCCAACATCGAATCAAACCATAGGCCTAACTATGCCAGTAGTACTATGTATGGTTCAGAAACTTGGGCGCTGACCAAAAGAACATAAACTCCTCATTGCTGGGTTTGAGAATATATTGTAAAGAAAATATACGGACCAGTTCAAGATAACGAAGGTTGAGAACGAAAAGAGGGCAGCTAAGAGAAATGTATAAACAATAAATACCCAGATATAGGGGTGCTTTCCAAAAGTAAAATGCTCGGATGAGCAGGCTAAGCGTGGTGGAGAGAAGATACTTCAACTTTATTTGGAAGAAAGAAATCTACAGGTGATCTTCAAATATCTCAAAGATCGCCTCTATTGGGAACGAAGTGTGACACAAAAGTACGAAAATGTCTACAGCTAGTTGACACACATAAATACAAATTCTGGCGGTTTCAATGGGGAATATCATCTAATAAACAAAAATGTCAGGTAACCACCTATTTCTTTAATCCGATTTATGGACCTATAAGAAATGCATTTTAAATCCGATAATTTTACAATAAAACGGCAATTGTGTCAATTTGATAAGCTTGAAGTACGTAAAATTGGCGGCCGATTCAGACACACACACTGGTGTTTACCTCAGTTACTTCAGGAATTTGGGTGCTGTTCATTGTGACAGGAAGACAAGAATTTCGATTTAGAGTAAAAGAAAGGTGAACAGATTTGGTTTCATTAATTTTGAATCTCCATGTTTTTAACCAATCAGTAATTATGTTCAGATTTTGCTATAAATTTAGAGAAGCTTGAACTGGATCACGATGAACGGATAAAATTGCAGTATCATCCGCAAATATGTAGCGATTTTCACCAACTCATTTTCTGGGAGGTCTGCTCTGTGTAGAGAATATACATAATAAAGGACCCGAGGTCACTTATTCCTTGAGGAATCCCAGATTAAATTGGATGTAGGTAAGTAAGAACATATCTTAATATTTAATTTGGAAAGTCCTGTTTTTAAGGTACTGTAAATATTATTAAAAATATTTTTACTTTATATAATAAGCCAACATGCCACGCTGAATCGAATGCCTGACTAACATCCAAGAAGGCAGCTGAGCAAAATTCTTTATTTTCCATACATGTACGTATCACGTCAACAACTCGGTAAACCTATTATATGGTAGGTAAGCCAAAACATATGTTCAATACTATTAGTATAGGATTCGGGCCAACAACGTCATTTGTTTATGTTTATGATCCATACCGGTATTTTTCTAGTAATCGTGGACGTGGTAGGTACTGTGTTTCCGTCTGAAATTAAACAATGAAACCAATTAAATGCAGGAATCACATAATCGTCAATTAGCGCTTGTACCATCCTTTTCAGAAGAAGAGTTTTTCATACACCTTGGACAAAACTGGTTATAAGACTTATAGGTTGGTATGAACTTGGTCAAGAGGCTCTCCAGGTTTTGGGCTGACTATCAATTGTACCCTTTTGAAATGAGCTGGTATTCCTGTCTTAACATTGTTTTTTTACTTACTTACTTGATACTTGATGATGTCCCACTAGCATCGCTCCTGCGACGTGGTCGTCAAAATGGGTAGAAACACAATAATAGGCCTAATTGAACAGATCTTCTACTTTAAAATAGGCCGCTTCACATAAATATTCCTTTAACATCTTCTTGAATTTATTGATATTTTGCTCTTGAATAATGTTCCTTGGTAGCGAGTTGTAGATCTTGACACTACTAAAATATGGGCTCTTGCAGGCCAAAGTTGAGTTAACTTGGGGTACATGTACTTGATTAGCTCTTCTCGTGTTGTACTAATGGACCAGATTGTTTGTGAAAAAGATGTCCGGATTATTTCTCACCAATATGGCAGATTCTAAAAGAAATAGTGATGGGAGGGTTAAAATTCCAAAAAGGTCATTGAACAGGGGCCTACTGTGAGCAAGACGTTTAGCACCACACATTCTCCTAATAATTCGTTTCTGGAGGAGAAAGATCCTATTGGCCATGGTACTACCCCCCCCCCCCCAGAACACTATTCCATAAAGATATTATACTGTGAAAACATCCATAATAAACTTTTAACAAAATGTCCAATTTCTGGAGCCTAGTAATTCAATTGATTACAGATCTTAATCTTGAAGCTATTGAATTAATATGTACATCCCACTTGAGATTTTCTGTTATGTGCAGGCCAAGATATTTTACTTTTTCACGGGAAGTGAGTGCGACCCCATCTATCACTAGTTGAGGAGCTGGTTCAGGGTTTTTCCTATTGTAAAATTCCATAAGGTTTGTCTTATCAGAGTTCAAGATCAGGCAGTTTTCGTTACACCAATTTTGCATCTCAATTAAACTAGATTGAGTATCTTCAATAAGACTGACACGATCATAGTTACAGATTAGGTGATTAGGGGATTAGGTGATTAGGAGTTACTGTTAGGTTTTGTCCTAGGACGCTAGACACGGGCCTGGGATTGTTTTCACATTACTTCAGGCTAGACCTAGGGGTTGCGGCATTATCACTTAGATAAAATCCATTGGTGACTTGGCGGGGATCGAACCCGGGACCTCACGGACTGAAGTCCCGCGCCTAACTACTACGCCAGCTCGCTCCCCCTTAACATTGTATTAAATAACATGGTCAAAAACATAACACTTTTTCATGGAAGCTCTTTAAGTATTTTGCGAGTTATGAGGTCATAACCAGGAGCATTCAGAAATGGAGATCGTTATGGTGGTGGATGATTAATTTGACATCCGATGGTTTGAACTCCTGCAATGGAAATGGAAAGTCAAGCTGTAATGGAGTCTCCATATAATACTCAACTATCTCTCCCTCGTTGTTTACTGCCGCATTTGTTTTGAACACATCCTCAAAGTATTGAGCTTGAGCAAAGGCTTCAGACTTCTCTGTGTTACATTTTGCCCAGCTAACTGCCATCTCACCCATCAGACTTTAGAATATGCGAAGAAGATGACGAAATTCTCAAATCATGAAATCAACTCTGAAATAATAGAAACAAAATGGGTAGACTTCCGTATCTGTTGGCACAAACAACCGAATGAAAATATCGATTGTTTAATTGTTTCATTCGATATATCATTTGGTTAGTTAGGTTAGGTTTAACCTTACGTAACTAACAAAACGAAATATCGAACAATCGATATATTGATCGATATTTTTATTCGGTTGTTTGTGACAACATATATGGAAGTCTACCCAACAAAATATCGTCAACACTAACACTGGTGGTTTGACGTGGTGGCGCATTGACAGCGACCCAGCCCAGTGCACTAGCCACTAGTGTCACCGAACATGAACTAGACCACGGCCGTGACCAGACACGAAAAACGAGCTTCAAAATTTACCATGGAATGGGAAGTCTACTTGTGTTAGTTAATCTATGGCTTTAGCCATAAACATACTTATGCGTTATGATACAAAAAATTAATACTGCCTCTAGCTGATCCATAAAAATAAAAAATTTACTTGTAAATCACGTTCTCTGTTCTCATTTTTTTAAAACCTAGTTTAATTCCATAACTTATTACTGAAACATATATATATAAATCAATCTATATTCAATGGTTGTACAATTGGACCAAGAACTGTCTGTAGGCACAAATTTCTTCTGTTCGTTCACTTCAGCGTCAAACAAACTCACAAACAAAAACAAAATCCCACAATCGCCATTTTGGAATAGTATTGTCTTGAAGTGTAACCGGCTGCACTCTTGTCATTGTCAGTTTAGTGTGTTACTGTGTTATTGATAACAATAATTGAACATTAAACAAGATGTTGGCTCTTGGGCCTAAGAAAGATGGGGGTCCAAACATTAAATTTTTTGAATCTGCCGAAACTATATCATTATTTGACGGTGTAAAGTCATGGCTGCAGAAGAACTGTAAAAAGGTAGGTTAACTTGTTTCGTTGGCTATTAGGTTGTTCGATACGTTATGTAGGCTTATTTTTGTAACGTATATAAATGTAATTTAATCTTAAAACTAATGTGTTTTCATTATATCTATATAAAAGTGGTGATTTCTTTATTTCCATGGATGAGTTCAGACAGACTAATTGGCGTTCTGCATAGGCCTAGGCCTCTAGGCTACTGTTTGACGTTTTATGGGCCTGAGAACTAGCTTTGACTTAATATCCAATAGTCAATGGTACTAGCCAATAGCCAACCAGGTTTGCCATCCCGATTCTGTCGGGACAGTTTCGATTCCGGTCCATTATGCCCATGTTTATCTTATGCTTAGGCCTAAGTTAATCCGGGGGAGGGGGCCCGATTCTAGTGAATTTCCCATAGGCCTATAGGAATAAGCTATTATCGTAGTAACTTACTCACGGTAAGACCTCGTACCCGGGACCGATTTAATTTTTCATTTTGAGGTCCCTAGAGGCCAAACACAATCCGTTCAAATTCATATATAGGCCTATAAGTATAAGTTATGTGTCTGTTAGCGTGATAACTCGAGCAAAAATGATCCGATTTTGATGAAATTTGGTACAAACATGTAAACCTACATTCATTCGAACGAGTTCGGGATCCAGCATAACTTAATCGGACCATGGGAACGGGGATTTTATGGGGTAAAAATGGGGTTTTCCCATTATTCACCCTTCAAAAAAAATTATGCAATTTCTTTTTAAACTGTTTTGTAACTTGGAGCTTAAAAAAAGAAATAGGGTGTACAGGGGTAAAAGGGATCAGAAAATCATATACTTAACTTACTTAATTCAACTTTAGGCCTCTATAACATCTGAGTGAATACGTCAATAACTTTCAAATTTTAATCGAGTATTAATAAGCTCTTTCTTCATACATAGCCTAGTATTTTTTCTGATTATTAAAATAAATTGTAACATACAAAAAAAAACTCTGTCCTTGATTCCAATTGCCCCGTGGACACTTGGGGTAGGGCCTAAGTAATTGGGATCACAGCTCCTACTACCCATATGTAACTTAATGCAATGTAATCAGATATGGGGCTATTGGGATATACAACATGTGATAAGCTTTCTGGAACAAATAAAATTTGTATTTTATCTTAAATAGCTTTTGAATTATGAACTTTTTTGTACGGTCTGTCGGGACTTCCTTAATTTGAATTTTTTTGTAGTGTAAATACCTAACTAAAATAAAATAAATAAAATAGGCCTACTAGCATTTATACATACCTTTGGCTTAAATAAGTAAGTGGTTTTTACTTAAAAATGAACGTTTTTCAGTCTTAGCGAATTTCCCATATAATGTAGGGAATATTAGCGAATTTCCCATATAGGGAATATAAGCGAATTTCCCATATAGGGAATAAGCTATTACCGTAGTACTCATGGTAAGACCTTGACGCGGGACCGGTTTTTTTTTGTTTTGAGGTCCCTAGAGGCCAAAAACACCATCCGTGTTCAAATTCACATATATATATATATATATATATATGTGTCCGTCAGCACGGTAACTCGAGCAAAAATGATCCGATTTTGATGAAATTTGGTACAAACGTGTAAACTTACGTTTATTCGAACGAGTTCGTGATCCAGCATGATCGGACCATGGGAACGGGGGTTTACGGGGGGGGGGGGGGGGTTATGGGGTAAAAATAGGTTTTTCCCATTTTTGACCCAAAAAACATAAAATTTAGCAATTTCTTTCCAAACTATTTTGTTAAGCTTAAAAAAACAAATTTTAGTATATTGAAGCGTTATTATGCGCCTAACGGTTACGGTACGGAGAAAATTCTAAAAAATTGTAAATTCAAAATTCCTATGTTATTCTTATGGAGAATAAGTAAACTGTTGTAGTTTGCTTGTTTGTGAACATATTTTGATCAAATTTGGAAAATGTTTTTATTTCTTACTAACTATTCACATTTTACAAAAAAAAAAAAAAAAAAAAAACAGTTTTACCCTCCCTGATGCAGCAAACCTAAGTACCGGTACTTGTTAAAATAGCCTAATTCTATTTAAATCAAGAATAAATGTTATATTTTTAAGTAGACATTTCACTGTAAATCCAATCAGTCAAATGGAAATTCGCTTAGTCTGCAGGTTTGCTGCGGCGGGGGTATTTTGGGCTAATTGATATTTTTTGCCATTGATTTAGGCATTGAATCACGGTGATTCCAATTGTCCCAACACTCGTGATCCCAATTACCCCATAATGCAATATTCATGGGGTAAAAGGGATCACAGCTGTAACGTTTTCTTCTTAAGTCCTAGAGCAATTTGGTTTCCAAATTTAGATTCTCCGTAAAAAGTTGATAACAACTCCATTTCTCATTAAACTTTCTAAAACACTGGCAGTAACTTAATCTAGAACAAAAAGAAAAATTACCGATCAATTTAATAAAAAAATAAATTTACAGGCCAAATTTCAAAAATTCATAAAAAATATTAATATTTTTTTAAAATTTCAAACAATTATATATATAGAAAGAGAAAGTTTTAAAAGCTTTCTAAAATCACTTGGTTTTAATTTTTTTTCTAAAAAAATTTATTTTTACATCCCCTGATCCCAAATACCCCGAGATCCCAATTACCCCTGTACACCCTAATTTAGTATATTGAAGCGAAGTTGTATGCCTAACGGTCACGGAGAAAATTCAAAAATAGTGTAACTTAATTTTAAATTCCAATCAGATTATTCAGCCTTGACAGCTTTAATATGTTTATTATAGATAATAATCTACTTACGTATGCCAGTTAGGTGTCAATTGTAGATAATTATGCTGTACATGTTTCGAGCCTAGTACTGTACGGCTCATCTTCAGCAGCATTCTTGTATGTAAAAATATTTCACATCGAGAGATGATTGTCGACTATTTACAGGAACCACATATATACACAAACACAGAACATTTTAGCATGCTATTTACACGTATTTTCGTAGCGTACGCTCGTTTAGGTAAAACTCGACCGGACGACAGGTAGGCCTACAAATGTCGTCCGGTCGAGTTTTACCTAAACGAGCATACGCTACGAAAATATGTGTAAATAGCATGCTAAAATGTTCTGTGTTTGTGTATATATGTGGTTCCTGTAAAAAGTCGACAATCATCTCTCGATGTGAAATATTTTTACATACAAAAATGCTGCTGAAGATGAGCCGTACAGTACTAGGCTCGAAACATGTACAGCATAATTATCTACAATTGACACCTAACTGGCATACGTAAGTATATTATTATCTATAATAAACATAAATTCCCATGTTATTCTTATGGAGAAAATGAAAATTGTTGTAGTTTACTTGTTAATGAATATATTCATTGATAAAATTTGGCAAATTTATTTATTTCATCCCATATTATTGAAGTATGGTAAAAAAAAACTTTTTAGCTTCCCCGTAGCAGCAAACCTAAGCACTCGTTAAATCTAATGTTACCCTATTTAAGTTAAATCTGCGTTGTACCAGGCTAATACCACGGAAGCTTTGATTGAGGAATTGCGTAGTAAAACACTGTGCACTAGTAATAAAAGGGAAAATATGATGAAACAATGCATTCCAGGGTGTCTACCAACCGGGAAATCCGGGAAAACCGGGAATTGTACTTAATTTTTTACTGGCCATGAAATGTACGGGAATTGTCCTTAAATGCCAGACTATGTCCTTAAATTTTTAATGGGCCATAATTTTATCGATCGCTAGTTGGTTAGGAGCACATAAAAGGTTTATCAGATGTTTGTTTACATTTTCATAATTTATTACTAGGGTAATTATGCAATAAAAACCCCATTAGCAGTCTCAAACCCATTAATATTTTATCACGACAATCAAGTGTCAAGTCAAGTACTTCCAAGAACTGTTGACTCAGTTGTAGTTTAGCTCATAAAAGTTGTATCACTTTTATTCCTTTACAACATATTTATTTATTACTAGGGTAATTATTATTAGATCCCAAACATATTTTATCATGGAAATAATAGTTTTATAATGGCTGTTAAATTTCACTTCTTACTTGTACTTCAATTTGCCGCTGGCCATTGCCTAGTACCATACAACTGTTTATGGTTTCATATAAAACATGTAACTAATCTACAGTCTTATTTTGTAAGTTATACCTACCCTTTTTTTATGGATATTTTATCTTTCAATTGACAAAACCAAAAGCATTGTTGTTTGCATTAAATTTTTATCACTACGTAGGCCTACTTGGTTTCAAATTATGTAATTGCATTTTCTGTATCTTTGTACATTGTTGGCGGTCAGGTTTCAATTTTTTTTATTTCCCATATTTATTTATTGCGTTGTATGCTTTAAGCAATCTAAATCTTATGAACTAGAATGATGATATTGTAGTGACTTTGCTGATATTATAACCTCATTGTTTGTTACTCAGTTTATATAGGCCCTCCTAAATAATTAGGCCTAGGCCTGGGTATTTTGATTCTTTGAAAGTGCTGTAAAATATACTAAGAAAATGTAATTGAGCCTAAGATAAACTAATGATTGCTATGTGTCGATATTAACTTTGCAGATGAAAAGACAATAATCTTACTCTGTGCTCACTGGTAGCCGCTTACCATACCGATTTTGTACCTAGAACCGAGTTACAATATATTCATTATGCATTAAAGATTTTTTTTTCAAAAGTAGTCAAGAACCGAACGTTGTGCCAGGGCGAATAATGCCAAATTAATCCGCCTGGATCGCATAAGCTATGTTATGATGTTTCCGTGACCGATGGAGATATTTAGGATTTTGTCGCTATTGCAGGAGACAATGATTGCGTTTTTCTGTTTCACTATAAAAGCTGTACCTAAAGTTATGTTTGTTTACTTTCAATAAGTTTCTATTTTGAAATTTAATTCTTGTCTATTATTATTTACTTTTCTCTCTGGAACAACTACATGAAGAACAAGATTAATACAGTTTGACAAATCAGGAATATTATTCTGTAATCACACCGACAAAGGTCCTTAAATGTACGGGAATTGTCCATGAATTTTTTATCCAGAATGTAGTAGACACCCTGAATAATATAAGAACGTGTAGTTTTATTCACCTTTTTATTTTATTCATCACTATTTAATTCATCCATCCATGGAACAGTAAATCCGGTCTCACACCAAGGAACTGGTGGAAAAGACATCTTAGCACGGGTACTAACAGACTCAAACACTGAGTGAGAACTGCACTTGACTGATCACCTGTCTATGAGTCATGCGCAAACAAGTGGACGTTTGAAACGTCGCTGGGCGGTGTGAAAGGGGCACGTCTGCGGCTTCCCGGACGCCCAGGAAGCTGCAGACGCCGGTGTGTAAGAGCCCTAAAGGCAGGGACACGGAGACACAGTGTCTCTTTAGAGACAAAGCCTGGGTGCAGTGCTGTAGTTAACTTGTGATGGTAGCTACGTGGATATCTCTGTATAGGACAACCCTGACATGCATTATAAACCTCACACCATGGAGGGTTTGCAGTGTGTTATCCTCTTATTTATAGGCTGTGTTAATTTTTTTGCTTCTAAGAGAATATTGTTATTAGGCAATCAATTTGTTTCAGACTAATATTTACACCAAAACCTCTTGTAGGCTTACTCTTGGGTGTGTCCATTTTATGGAACCAGACCTTTTCATAGATATAATACTCTTATTTATTTGTAATTTTTGATTTTCAGTACATTCAAACTGACCCGCCAACCAGTAAAGGGCTGGCACAACTCGTCATCCAGTTGATCCAGTTCCAAGAAGACAACTTAGGAAAGAATGTCAGCAAGCCACCACTAACACGCCTGCCTGTAAGTAGAGATGTGAAATACCTGAGTATTAAAGGTTAATCAACTACACGCACATACAAGATTTTATTTAGAATTTTCCCATTAAATAGCATTGGAATGTTCAGGGTGTACAGCCAACCTGGAAACCAGAAAACCAGGAATTGTACGTGAATTTTGATGATCGGAAAAAAATCTGTGAATTGTACGTAAATTTTATAAGGAAATGGGAAATCTGAATTTTTGATAAATTATCTAAAAAAAACGCCCAATATCACGGATGTTTCTTTTTTTGCGTCATCAAAATTCACGATTGTGGGAAACTATGAAGAGTCATGAATTATACCGCAATCGTAAGAAACCATAACGAACATTGCCGCGATCTTAAGACATTATCATGACCATTGCCACGATTGTATAGAATAATCACGACTGTTGCCGTAATAGTGAGAAATTATCTGAAATTTTCCTGTGATTGCAAGATTTGCAAGATCACATAATATGTGCTCTAGATAAAAAAAAAATGACGGGTGTTCAAATTAATTGCTGGAGATGATTGAGGATTTTGCCGCCATCAAGTGAAATCATCACGTTGCGATCATGTCATAATAATCACAGCTACTTCTGCAATTAAGAAATAATTAAAGATGTTGACATATCACCAGGAAGCTAACCGGATGTTGCCGCAATGAAATGATCAATTTTCCTGCAATCGCAAGATAGGATCACCAGTTTTGCCGCGATATTAAGAAATGACCATGTGTGTTGCCGTGATCGTGAGAAATTATCACAGATTTTGCCGCGATTGTGTGAGACACTCACAACATTTTTGCAGTTCTGGCGTTTCTACGATCACAAATGATGATGTCGATCGTTCAGGGCCATGATAACCATTGCCAAATAACCAGGGCCAAATAACCGCGTATATGAAACTTAAACCCCATGAAACAATTTGAATATTGAGTAGCCTACAAAACGTTCAGTAAAATTGTTGACAGTATAACTGTTCATACTCAGTCCTAGCATTGAAGAAAATATATATATCTTTTTAGACGTACAGTTACTAAATTGCCCAAATTATATTCTTGTAGTTACTATTTACTATCCAACTTCATAATATTTAGAAAAGAAAATTCACTTGCAAAAAATGTATTACGGGTGATTAAGTTAAGAAATGTAATAAAAAAATGTAGCATAATAAAGATTTTTTTTATTTGCCCACTTAAATGGGCCTATCTATAAAACCAACAGTCAAAATCATAAATAGGACTTTATAATATCTTAAGTACGCACCTTTTAGCGTCCATGGGTATCGTTACAAGTTTTCAATTCACCATCGACAAATTATATCCTCTAACCAACAAATAACTAATATTTTTTACTCATTTTGACATGAAAAATCCAATAGACCATGCCAAACACTGATGATGTTTATACTTGTTATAAATAATGTCCACACTTTTAGGTAGGCCTATATACCCACCCCTGGAGTATTTATAAATATCCTATCTACTGAATGTTCACCCGGCCCACAACACTAAGTTATCTAAGTATTCATTGAGTAAGTATTCATTTAATTCTTTTTCGCATCAGGAAATTCGCTAAAAAGGTGACTAAATGTAAAGATGTAGACCTAGTTTATGTTAGGTAAATGTCATTTCTAACATAAATGATCTTTTACAGATGAAGTGCTTCTTAGACTTCAAGCCAGGTGGAGCTTTATGTCATCTTTTGGCTACTGTCTACAAGTACAAGAGTGAGCAAGGGTGGCGTAGGTTCGATTTCCAGGTTAGTAAGGTATGATCATGGTTGCCAGCACTTTACTAACTTCACTTATCTTATGTTGTATCTAATAGCATACCTTATTGTTATCATTATAGCAATGTTATTGTGTGTTTTATTTTTGTATTCTGTGTGTCTTAAAGAACTATTGATTCTTTCCTTTGATATACGTAAACTGGTTTAAATCCTGTATCTTGTAATCCTAGGTTGCCGCTGTGGCAACTAGCTCTGGTTCATAGATGAACCAATGTCTTGCCTAAAAAGAGTCAAAATCAATCACTTATTTGAAGGTTGTCAATAAAGGCCGATAAAACATGTAAAATACATTACATATCAAGAAAATACTGTACATACACAAAATTAAGATAGGCTGACAAAAACATTGGCATCAAGCGTTGAAACCAGGTTGAAGTGAAAGCCTAGACTGGTTTTGTTTTTTAAGTATACATTTTTATTTTACCAAAATTATTTAGGACCACTAAAGCAACCAAGGATTTTAATGGGGGTATTTAAATTATTGTACATGTGAATAATGAAATTAAGTAATCCTTTGGCCCAACCACTTTTTTGCAAATCAACTTAAATTACCTGCATGCAATGTGTTTTATTGCCTAATTGAGTGAATGCACTGATAATGCACCTTGGGTATTAATTTGTAAATAAAGACTATAAATAATAATATAAACTGGATATGAGATAGTTATTTTGGCTGCATCCAAATTTCTACAATGACTGAAAAATATTGTTCGATAATAAAATAAATTTTATTTATCAGCATGTTGTCATGCATATCCATCACCTAGAGATGTAAGTTATTGTTATTTCCCAGCAATGCTATAACAACCTTTTTTGCCTGCTAATAACAGGTTGTTATCCCAGCAACGTTGCCAAGAATTCGTTGCCAAAATATTCGTCGTAAAAAGTCCGTTTTCGATGGGAGTTGTGTTCCAGTGATAGTTTTTGAATGTGTTGGACGTTACTGAACATTTACTAACAACTGCAAACTGATCATTGACAACGTTTTTGTCAGAACTAAATTGTTTTTCTCAAACGGTGTTTGGCGGATCTGCTAAGGCGTTGCAGTAACGCAACCAAGAAGCGTTTTTTTAATAACAGGGAGTTTGACGCAACAGGCTAGCCTGACAACAGTTGTCAAGCGGCAACCCTGTTATGTTGTATAACGTAGATCTCTACTATCACCTAATCTTCCCAGTCTGTGTGTCATTCACTAGCCTCAGGCCAATAAATAGTTACCTTATTGACAACTGCAAACCACCAGGTGTTCCATAATAGTCCTCCCCTGGTTAACTTTTGAACAGCTCCATAAATATTCAAACGAGCTTCGATACACGTTACTTTACTAGGGTAATGTAAAGTACTTTTTGGGAGTATTTTGAAATTCACCCGCACCCCCAAATTGTGGTTGCTGGAGGTAACTTAAATTTTTTAAATAGCAACCCCTATCAATCAAGTAGCACATAATTTTAAAAGTCATTAGTTTAAAAGAATACCGGCGAAAAACAGAGGTCCCATCACAGCCCATTACACCCCCCCATTACAGAATGGCGGCCATTTTTTATTTTTCATCAGCAATGCCAGAGAGCCCATGTAAATATATACACCAATATCACTTACAGTAGACCCCCTCTTAACCGACCCTAATGGGACCGGACCTAGGTCGGATAACTCAAAAGGTCGGATTAAACGGGCAATCCCTAAAATCATAACATAATGAAGTGCTATTCATTTGGAATTATATAATCATTATTTTGAAGTCATACTTTCATTATTTATAAAATAAACTACTCTTATCTCCTTTTTCGTATTGATAAAAAAGTCACAAATATACACAAAACATGTTAAGTCAAATAGTCCTACTTACAGTGGAATCCTTATATATAATACGTGAAGGCGATTTCTACAAAACACTACTCCTCCGTTAATAATGGACGGATTTTTACAAACGACGTGTCAAAATAAAGTATTTTTTGTGTAGACGTCCCCTTTCACCAATTCGTGTAATAAAAATCCTCGGGCTTTGCCCCACAGGCCATCAAAGTTGGGGTTTCTCCCATAAGATTAACATGGAGGAATTTAAATATTTAATTGGAAACTTTGTCCCCATTAATTTGAGAGAACGGCTGGGCGTAGAAACTTGGTAAAGGTGTCCAAAGAAAGGTCTTGGTCTGTAGATGAGTTATCAAAAGAAAAACTAAGCAAAATCCCTTAGGGCTCTGCCCCAGAAGCCTTTAAAGATCCCTCCACAGAGTTGTTTACATTTTGGCCATGTGAATAATACTTTTTAATAAAACAGCTTTTCATTTTTAAATTTTATTTCAAACAACACACATTTATTGGGAGTTACTGAATTCTACCAAATAAGTACTTGCAATGTTATTTTCCGATTTTAAAATTGATTTTCTTCTTTATCATGTCATGTTTAGATATATAACGTTCCATTACGCAATCAGTGGGAATAATTAATCTAGGTAGGCCCTAACTCGTATTTTTTTAAATAATTTCAATTCAATAAAAAAATAGAGTTTGTAAAAATAAATTTATTTATAAAACAGATAATCATATAAATAGTTATGTAACTTTTTCTTAAACTCACCTGTGGCCGATTACTTTTTTGTGCCTTGTAAAAGGGCCTTTTTCCATAAGCTTATTGAAGATTGATTGGGAATCTCCTAACTGAACAACAGGATTGTTATTACTTGAAACTAGTATATTATAATACTAGGCAAGAGTCAATAAAATTCCCATCGTAATACAGTACAGAACCTTTTACCGAAATTAAAGATACAAGCAACCATTTTGTTACTAGACAGGACGTTTATTTATAGCTAGTTCTCACTGGAGGCTCGAGGCACAAAAACTGTCTTGACCTTGGAGTTGTTATCCCCCCTTCCCTGCCCTCCCTACAAGTTGCGTTGTTTGTTTACTCCAGCAATAAGATAATCAGTTCTCAAAAATCGTAACACACTTTATGATGTTTTGCCACATAGATAACAAATCAGATCAGATGTGCTTGAGCTACGATGATGACAAACTGACAATAGGCTATGCTATATTTTTTGTGATCAACACAAAATAACTTATTTTTAGTCATATCCTGTGGAGATAAGCGTATGGTTCAGTTCTCATCGCCCAGCGTGGGAGCGGAAATGCCGAGATTCGTAGAAAGCGGCGGTTAAACCAAGCTGCTCTCAAAGCAAGGTCGGTTAAAACAAACTGTATTATTTTACGATGGAAGGCGGATAATCTGATTATCGGTTAATACGAGGTCGGTTAAGAGGGGGTCTACTGTACTAGGTAGCGTTTTTATGGGTTGTACCAGGGAAACTAAACTCATTACTATTCTAACAAGAAATTAAAAACTACTTTTTGATTAGTATGACAATTTTGCCCGGGACCCCAAAATGGGGTATTTAGGGGGCAGCTCAAAATTGTTAAAAGCCCCATCATGAGATACCTCATTTTGAAGGCCATCAGTTAAAAAGAATATCGGGGAAAACTAGAGGTCCCTATCTCAACCCCATACAAAATGGCATCAGATTTTAGTATTCATCAACCTCAGAGACCCCACATAAAAATACATTATAATATCCATCATTAACATTTTATCAGGTTGTACACTTTTACTGTGGACTGGAAAACATAACGTTATGATGGATACAGTTTCATTTCAAACTATGTTGATAAGTTTAGTTTATAATGATAATGATATAATATGTTAATCGAGACAAAGACAATCCAATGAATCAAACATCATTATAATCAGTCCAGCCGTTCTTGAGTTGTAAGTGGTGTAACTAACACGACTTTGTTTTATATTATACATAATCTATTTCAATTGGAACCAAAACATCAATAAAAAAAATTATTTTAAGAATGGAGTTGTTACAATTTTTTTATTATGAATTTAAAGACCAGAAGTCATCTGCCACCAATTTATTTAATCTAACTACAAACAAGTAATATTTTATTCAAAAAATTAAAATTAAACAATCTTATCATATAATTTGCACTATATTCATTACTTAGCCTAATGTAATTTGTAATACACAATGCAACTTGTTTAAGCTATATTTTCAATTTGTGTCTGTTGGTCCTCCCAAAGAACTTTGTTTTCCTCTGTGCTTTTTGGTGATGTTTTCTTATTAGATTTCTTTTTGTTTGATTTGCTAATATTGGAAGATGGCGCCGAAGGTTTAGGCTCTTCTAACACAATTTCGTTCTGGTCCTGGTCTTGAGCTATCTGTTTTTGAGGCAGTTTGGGTTTTGGTGAATGAAATTCAAATTCCAATGTTGAGTCGGAAGAGGATGAGTCGCTGTCTCGTTGTTTCTCTGTGATTGTGAAGGGTATAGGGATAGGTCCTATATCTGTATCACTACTCTTGGGACAAAATGTGATGTTGTAAGTGCGTCCCCTCTTTTGTATATGTAGTAGCGGTGGCTCCTCTTTTGACTCCTCTTTTTTCAATATCACCTTTTCTCTTTTTGGGGTTCCTAACCCGACTCGTATCGGCTCCACTACGTCGTCAAACTGTTTCAATACCTTAATCATATTCTTTATGTTTTTCCCAATAAAGCCTGGAGGCCCACCTTTTCTCTCCTAGAACATTTTTGATAAACTGTAGGCCTAGGCTGTTAATTTCATTCTCTACTTATTAAAAAATTGATTAGTTATTAATTTATAAAAATTTAAATAAAAAATCTGTAATTATTTAATTAACCTAACTCTAGAATGTATAGTTAGTCAGCCTACTATCGTTCTATGAAAAAATATCCTACAAAGTAAATTAATGAAAATTACCAATATTCATCAATATCTTATATTGACTACTGGTATTATTTCCTGAAAAAAATGTATGTTTTTGCTTTTGAGTATGATCAAATTAGTTTTATATATGTTTTAGGCTAAAAGATGAAAGAACAGGTTGGCTTTTGATATATTTTCTTTCTTTATTTCAATGTGTTTAGTTCCGGGTTGTCAATATTGATTAAAAATTAATTTACGTACGTATGAACCCTATTGGGTCCTTTTAAAAAATAGTTAAACCTAATACAGGTGTCAAAACTGGAAAATCTTCTTTTTACTCAAGTATTAAACATATAATCTAAGTACCTACTGTTTATTTTGTTGTAAACATTTTACTTCTTGGTCATTCTAACTCAGAATGTTTATTTGTTCTTCAGATTATGTCTTCTTTAGACCTAGATAGCTTCAATTTGTTAACTTTTTAAGTGATTTGCAACTTAATATTTATTATCATAAGCTACACTAAGAAAAACTATAGTTCCCTTCTGGTTCTAAAATATAGGGCAGCACAAAATTACATATCTAGTTCTAACTCTAGCAGTACACTATCGCCGATTGTAGGCGAGCACGATAGTGTATTCGGTCTGCTCGTGTATGTTCGAAATAGTTCGTATCGCCATGATTCGTAATTGTCTGTGCTCCAAATTTTGTCGGTTTTTGGGACGAGTCAAAGGAGACGAGCAAAGGCGAGTGCAGGAAGTTAATATATGTCTAACCACCAGCAAGCATGTTAGGCGAACATGGGAGAGATCGTGGTTCACTTATGGCATCATTTGTTGGCGCATATCGAGACAAAAATACAACCGAGCATTCGGCAATAGTGTACTGCTAGCATAAACACAGTTGTGTGTAATTCTAACCATTTCACATTCACATCATTGGTGTTTTGTCTATCTTGATATTTAACATAAAATATAGGGTAATCTTGTACCTATCTTGTATTCTCATATTTGTATGCAATCCTTAATTTTGCTTGATGTACATTTTAACTTTTGCATTTCCTAACAGTCAAATTTTAATTTTTTTTAAGCCCATGTATCAAATTACTTAACAAAATTAAAGTGTTACCCTCATTCCTTTAGATGTGTCTTGGATATTCCATAACCAACCCATGTTCTTGGGTACCAGTCCTAGACTCGGCATGCAGTGTTTGTGTCCGAGTCTTACTCCGTAATTCTCAGTTCCTCCTGAGAAATAGTACCTGTCAAACAAGAATATACTTGTAGTGGAGAAAATATTTTGTATCAATCACACTGTCAATGAGTGTAGAATGAAGTGAGATGCCTTGTGTAGCGTTTACTGACTAAGACCAGCTGTTTCACTACCTAGGACTATTTATTAATAACCCAATGATGAAAGGACACCTGGGTCCATTAACCTTCCTCAGGATGAAACCAGGGACTTTTTGATTACTAGGTGAGCATTTTACTATCCTCTCACAAAATGTTTATGGATACGGTCTCGGAAGAAAACATTCTATTTACAGAGGGGTTACTGTCATCTAAACAACTTAGCACCAATGATTGTAATTAATTGTTGTATATATTTTGTAAGATCCTTAACTCACTTGACATGAAGAGGTTTTTTCTTTGGCATCCTACAGCCACAACTGTATTGAGTTGTCTGACTCATTGTTGCTGACTTTGATTGAGTTGCTTCTGACTTTACTTGCTGTCTTAGTTGTCTTTCCCTTTTGTAGTTGTTTTTCTTCATTCTTGTAGAGGTTAAAGACACCTTAGGTTTCTTCTGTGTACTTTTTATGCTTAACATAGGAGACCTTATTTCTTCTTTGGGTGCTGGTGCATCCTTTTTGTCTTCTTTATTTTCACTAGGAGTAGCTTGGACATGTTCCTGGATAGAAACCTTTTGTGTTACCTGTTTCTTATTTGATTTTTCTGTAGCAGTATCAGTTGACTCATCGGGCATCTTCTTTTTACCATCCTCATGTTCTATCAAGAGCTGTTTGATTTCACCACTTACTTTTTTCATTCTTTCATCAGTGATTATTTGTTCCCTTTTAAGAGCATTTCTAAAATCTGTTGGAAGTAAACGTAGGTCTGTGGTGTCTGATTGGCCACAGATACACTTGACTGGATCACAGTCAGGAATAAGTGTGACTTCAGCCTCTGGGCTACAGATACACATACTTGGGAAACAGGTACATTTAGCCTCGTCACTTAGGTTTGCCATCGGAACCGAAACAAATTGGCAATCTCTTCCAAACTGGCAGCATTCAATTTTTGGATCTACCTTTTGCGACTGTGGATAGCTAACATATTCTAATGGACAGGTACATCTAAGAAGATCCTTATCTAGATTGTCCGAAAAAATACTGGAGTATTTCTTTTGATTGGGCCTATCCATTATAGTAACTGTAGATACGTATATAATTTTAGGTATTACAACTTAAATTATTTAATTATGAGTAGTCATAAAATAATTTTGAATACAAATCAATAACAAAAATTTTGTTGCTTAGAGATAAAGGCTTACAAGGTATAATACAATAGTCTCACAAACCCGGCTAGTGATGGGAGAATCGAATACTTAAAAGAATCGAATACAGTGAATTCGTAGCCTCCCCTGTGTTCGAATAATTTTACGAATACTTGTATTCAAACACCTTTGAGTATGCAAAGCATGGGAAATGAGTGTGTAATCCTTTTTTCATAATGCAACCGTTCTTTTGGCCACTGTTATTTCGTTTTACAGTAATTAATTCATTAATATAATTTATTCAATGTAATTTTAAATTATATGATTTTTAAAAGGTACATTTATTTTGACTTATAATTATTTCATGGTCAGTTACAGTCTTATTAATCTATTATTTTCTATTATATTAACTAATTAATATCTTTAATAATATGTCTTATTCATTTGTATAGATAATTTACATCAGATATGCATGTTATTTTGCCATGTAACTATATAAATCGGTTGTAGTTATAATCAATTCTATTCAATTGCCCTCTACCAGTAGTAACCTAATATTTTAAATATCCAATATATTCTAAATGTTAACGATTAATAATAATCTTATGTAAATTATAGGGCTAATGGTAAAATTATAACGAATATATGAAAACAAATGCTGCAGTAAAAACATTAAATACTCTTAAGAATGCTACGGATTCTTAAGATATTCAAAAGGGAATTCAGTAGTTGAAAAAGTGTTGAATACACAAATACTGCAAAATCTGTGAGGTCAAGAGTATTCACAAAAAAGTATTCGTACGAATCTGAAGTATTCGAATCTACGAATACTCGGGCTGTATTCGAATACTATTCGATTCTCCCATCACTAAACCCGGCTCTCCGTAACTCGGCCGCATTTGACAGAGAATTCAAAATAACATTTCTTATGCCCATGCTTAACCCAAAATATAGCTAATGTGACAGCTGTGAGTCTCGTTACCTATTGACACTCAAGGTCAATGCTCGCCCGGTGAATGCCCTAGTGGACAGTGATTTCCCCCTCCCGTCATCGACTGCCATATTCCTGAACATCACACGTAATCCCAGTGTAGCACTAGCCAGAGATTACAGTAAAGTAGAGCGTGTCGTGTCACATAGCTCTTTTCATTTTGAGTTTTATTTAGATTGAATGCTGTGATATTGACTAGAATGATGGTACAATTTACCTCATCATGTCCTACTTGTTGTAGAAATCAAGTTATGACCTACAACCTGTTTTGCCATTAATGCCACATTGTCAGGGTTGCCGTCACATAAACATAAAATTTAAATACGAAACAAAGAAAATTTCATCAACATATAACGGTCCCAGCGCAGGTAGTAGATATGTCGAAGTCTGAACCAGCACTGTATCGTATGCACACAATATAGTGTTAGTTCTTCTTTCCATTGTTCACTTTTTGGTCTGCTATGTTTATATCAAAATTTAAGTGAAAATGTATTGTCTTCTGTTGCTTATTTGATGAATAATAACCCTATATAATCTATTAGAGCTGTTATGTTTAATCCTATTATTCTTGATAACTCAGGGTCAGGACAGATTTTGCTAACATTTTCTTAAAGCTATTGACACTAGCTACTAGCTAGTACAAATATTTTTGTTTTAAATGTGTTTTAGTTAGCATTCTGCAGTACAGAAAATTTAACGTTCAGTACGTTACATTGTTTTGTATCTCAATATACTGGTATCACGGTTACCAGTATTTTCGAAGTTTTTTCCTAGGATTGTATTTCAACCATAATTTTTAATTTTGGTACATTGACATTGCTATGAAGATGGGTAGTAGGCATGCATTCATGGCTTTTCATTAACAACTACCACTAATTAAAAAATCTTTAAATAATCTTTAATAATCATTATTCAAGAAAAAGTGGGGTCTCTCAAGGCTGATAAAAACTAAAAACTGATGCCATTTCGTACTGAGTTGAGATAAGGACCTCTAGTTTTTGCTGATGTTCTTTTTAACTGTTGGCATTAAAAATGAGGTTTCACTTCATGGAGCCTTATATTTGAAAAATTTTAGCTGCTCCCAATACACCCCATTTTAGGGTCCTGGGCCAAACTGTCATACCGACCAAAATGTACTTTTTAGTTCCTTGTTACGGTTAGGCCTATACTGAGCTTAGTTTTTCTGTTACAATCCTTAAAACAGTTAAAGGGGAATATCAATGTATATTTTAAAGTGGGGTCTCTCAGGCAGATGAAAAATTTAAGATTGGATGCCACTCTGTAATAATGGGTTAATAATGGGTTGAGATAGACACCTCTAGTTTTTGCTGATATCCTTTTTAACTTATGGACTTTAAAGTAAAATATCACTTGGCGGGGCTTTTCATTAAACATCTTTTAACTGCCCCTAAGATATTCAGTTTTTTGGGGTGTTCCGGACAAAATTGGACATATATAAATCTATATTTATATACTGTGAACGGTTGGCGTTTTTGTCCTCTGGGGACATCAAAATGAAAAAGTAAATCCGTCCCGGGACTAGGTCTTACCATACCACCTACAGTAATAGCTACTTCCCTTCAGGGAAATTCGCTAAAAAGAATGTGAATTACAGTAATATAAACACCTAAGTCACAGATAGCTTAGGTCAGATAATCGAGACACAACTGTAAAATGAAATGCATTTGTTCTTCATGAATGGTGTACATCTGGTAAATGTGTGCATTATTTGTTTCTCTTTATATGTTTCAGAGCCCATCTCGCATGGATAGAAACGTAGAGATGTTTATGAATGTGGAAAAAGCATTGATACAAAACAAGTACTTCACTCTACCTGTCGTATATATTCGACCTGATGTTGACAAAGCCAATGCATCAAGAGTGAAGGACATCATCAAAAGACACCAGGGAACTGTCACCGGTAAGTGGTTCATTCAAATTAGTCCAAACCAATGTCTGACAACATAGAACATTGGCTGGCCTAGTACTTATAAATCAAGATGAAATTCTCTGGGCAAGCAGAAGAATTAATTTTTATCTTGTCATGCCATGGGATATAAAACATTACCACTCACTATATTTTGCTTTCTATTGTTCATATTAACAAGATTGTTAAATGAAAGGTTTGAGTCATTTAATAAAAAACATGGTTCACTTTTTTATTTACATAATGAGGCTCTCAAATTGTATTAGTATATTCTGTTTATTTCTTGTGGAAGGTGACCTATTGACATGACCCTTAAGGCGTCACTTTTAAACCCAAGAATACTCTGTAATTAAATTGAATTTAAGACATTGTGATGAGCAAGTTAAAAAAACCAATTATTTTTAGCGAATTTCCCATATAGGGAATATTAGTTGTAAAAAATATTAAAGACAGACAAGACTTTGACAAAAAAGATGTGTGTATTTGTTGGACATTATTTACAATCATAATAATAATAAAACATGTGTTAGTTCAATTAAAATAAAGAAGGCAGGCATAAATTAAACATATTAAAGAACACAAATCAATGAGTCAATATGAAACATATTACATCTTTTCCCCTCCAACGGTAAGGACTGCAACTTTAGTCAGAGGCCGGCGATAAGTTCCTTTTGATGTTGTTATGTCTACTATTCGTACTTGGCCATCATGACCTGGGTAGACAGCCGAGATTCGGCCAAGGGGCCAAGTATTTCTTGGACAGTTTTCCTCAATTATTATTACAAGATCGTCAATCTTTGGTGGGTCCAATTTCTTGTGCCATTTGCACCATCTTGAAAGGCATGGAAGGTACTCATGCACCCATCTCTTCCAGAAGCTGTCTAGGAGTGATCTAACACGAGCTAATTGTCGTTTACACAGTTGGTCTTCGTTTAGGTTGATTTTGTAAGCTTCTCTTAGAAAATGGTTTGGTGTGATTGGTTCGGGGTCATTGGGATCCAGAGAAACATGTGTGAGTGGGCGAGAATTTATTATAAATTCAACGCGAACCATGAATGTCTGAAGCTCTTCATCTTTTGGGTACTGGCAGCGCATAACACTCCTTAATGCGGTCTTTACAGACCTAACAAGTCTTTCCCAGCAGCCTCCCATATGTGGTGCTCGCGGGCAAATGAAATTCCACTTTATCCCGTAGTTCACCACGTCTTTTTGGATCTTTTCATGTTTGAGTGACTTTACAGCGTTTCTAAGTTCCCTATCTGCAGCTACAAAGTTTGTGCCATTGTCGGAATATAGTTCTGAGGGAACTGGTCTTCGGCTGATGAATCGTTGAATCGCCATTATACAACTCTCTGTGTTAAGAGAATGAGCCGTTTCGATGTGAATTGCTCGAGTGGATAAACAGGTAAATAGGACACCATATCTTTTTTCATGTCTGCGGCCAACAGTAACTTCGATAGGTCCGAAATAATCCACTCCAGTGTAGAAGAATGGATGTTGCACTTTTGAGCTCCTTAACTGTGGTAGTGCAGCCATCTGAGGAGGATAAGGTTTGGCATTGTCTATGCTACACCTCATGCAGCTCCTTTGAACTTTCTTGGCGACTGATCGTACGTTTAAGATCCAGAACTGTTGTCTAGTCATATTGATAACAGTCTCGATGCCCTGATGGAAACATTTCTCGTGAAACATTTTTACGATTAGTTTAGCCGTATGACTTTTGCCGTCTAAAATGATAGGATGCTTTTGTTCTTCGCTTATTTCTGGTGAACTATGTATTCTACTCGACATTCTTATTAGAGACTGATCAATGAAGGGATTTAAAGAGAATATTCTACTGGACTTTGGTAGCGGTTTGTTCTTCAGCAGTAAATTCTTTTCTTCATTGAAGCTTGCCTTTTGAGACATTGATATCAAGTTCTGTTCAGCTTTTTGAATTTCCTCTGGTTGAAGTTCTGGTATATTTCCAAAATCTACGTTGACCGTTTTCAGTTTCTTTTTGGTGGTGGTGGTAGTATGGGACCTTAGCATGCTAACAAATCTGTGTACCCATGCTAATACACGTGTCACTTTTTCCCAAGAAGAAAAGTTTTCAACTGTCAGAAGAGGAGGGGTTTCATCACTGTTCAAAACTCCGACGAATTTCTTCTTTCTTTCTTCATTTCCCTTGACTTGTAGTGTGGACGGTTGTATTGGCCAGTCACTAGATTCTCGCATTAGAAATGAGGGTCCGTGAATCCATTCAGAATGCATGGCTGATGTAAACTTTTTGTTACTTCTAGTTGCAACATCTGCCGGATTCTGTTTTGATGGAACCCATCTCCATTCTTCAGGTTTAGACAAATCTTGAATTTCTCCAATTCTATTGGAAACATACTGTTTGAATTGTGTAGGGTCGGATTTCAGCCAGTGCAAAACTGTTACAGAATCTGACCAAAATATCTGACGAGAAATAGTTAAGTCAATGTCTTTTATGATGCTACAAGCTATTCTGCATCCAAGAACAGCAGCTTGGAGTTCTAGTCGGGGAATGGTTGTTTGTTTGAGTGGTGCTACTTTGGCACGTGCCATAACAAGCATGGTCTTGTAAGTACCTCTGGCACATCCATGGCGTAGATATGAAACTGCTGCATAGGCCTCTTCACTAGCATCAACAAACGTATGGAGTTCAACTTCTTCAATTGTTTTGACGTTAAAATAGCATCGAAGTATGGTGAAGCTCTGCAGACATTTTACTTCTTGTAACCAGTCTTGCCATTTTTTACTAAGTTCTATCGAAAGAACTTCGTCCCACGTTATGTTTGTTCGCCAAATGTCCTGAACAAGCATTCTCCCTTTTATAGTAGTAGGTACAACTAATCCCAATGGATCAAAAATGGACATAGCTCCTCTTAAAACTTCTCGTTTGGTCGGATACCTTGTTTCAACTAACTGTACCTTTTCGGCGTTCCGGTGAAATGAAAAGTGGTCAGTTTCAGCATCCCACCACATTCCGAGGATACGTTCTGTAGGTAGACGACTTTCAGGTTGCAGTAGTTTTGTAGAGTTTGTCTTCAAATCTTCCGGTATTTCAAGTAAAATTTCTTTTGAATTAGACAACCAGTTACAGATTTTAAAACCTCCGGACTTGTGAATTTCTGTTATCTGTTGTATTCTAATTCTAGCTTCTTCTTCTGTATCAGTAGAGTCTAGTAGATCGTCCATGTATTCACTGCAGAGGATCGCTTTACTTGCTTCTGGGTAAATTTGTAGAAACCTCTTGGCGTTGCTGTTTACTACATACAAGGCAGTACTCGGGGAACACGTTGATCCAAATATCATTGCTTCCATGATATAGGTATCTGGTTTGTTGTTCGGATCTTCTCTCCATAGAAACCTTTGCGAATCGACATCTTCTTTTCTGATACGTACTTGATGAAACATTTCTTGTATGTCACCTGCGATCGCAAATTTTCTTAATCTGAATTTGAGAAGTACTGCTGGCAGAGGGTTCAAAAGGTCAGGACCACTAAGCAAACCATCATTGAATGACACACCATTCGCTTTAGCAGCTGCGTCAAATACTAACCTCAGTTTGTCAGGTTTGTTTGGATTTATTACCCCAAAATGAGGCAGATAATAAGTCCGGTCATTTATAACATTAGCTTCGTCATCACGTAGTTTTCTGATGTAACCTTTTTCTTCATAATCAGTGATCTTGGCTTTGTATTTGTTATGAAAGTTTTCGTCTCTTGCCATCTTCCTTTCAATACCCTTAAGCCTTTTCAGCGCATTTTCATAGCTCGGTGGATATTTAAAGTCTTCTGACTTCCATAGTAGGCCGGATTCATACCTATCCCCTACTTTTTTGGTCGTATCTTCTAAAATCTTGAGGGCTTTTTCGTCTTCAACTGATTTCACATTGTCATCTTCTACTAGGGACACGCCATAATTCTCGATTTCAAAAGAATCTTTGATAATATCATGAAGTTTTTCACTTTCAAAAGACGTTAAAGTGAATTGACTATCTACTCGCCCAATGTGTTCATGACATTTACCGTGCAATGTCCAGCCTAAACGGCTCCAAGACAAGACTGGAGAGTTGGGAGGACCTTCAATTATTTTCCTTGCTAGAATAAGGTCACAGTTGTCTTGACCTATAAGTATTGTAGGTTTCAAATTTGCTGACGGTAAAGGTTGAACAATTGACCGTAAGTGAGACCACTTCTTTTTCAGTTTGACAGTATCCACCATTTGTTTTGGTAAGTCCAATGGTGACTGGGTTCGTACATTGTTTAATGTAAATACTTCGTCCTCATATAACCCTTTAATTTTAACTTTCACAGTCATGGATGTTGGGTCGAAATGTTGGGTTGCATTGGACCAGCATGTCGTGAGGGGTTCAATACTACCGTTGACGCCTAATTTATCGGCTGTAGCTGAATCCAACAAAGATACTGTTGACCCGTCATCTAAGAGTGCGTAAGTGTCGATCTGACAACTTGGGCCATATAATGTCACTGGACATACTTTTAGTAGAACACGGTTATTAACAACATGACTGCTAATAATTTCTTTATTTTGCGGTTCGCTGTCCTGTTTGGGAAACCTCTCAATTTTGTCAGTATGGAGGGATGGTGAAACAACCTGCACCCATTTATCCCACAAACCTTTTTTACTTTACATTTTTGGAGCTGGTGACGTCGAAAGCAGAAGAAACATAGTTTCTTTTTGACAATCATTTTCCATCTCTGCGATACATCTGCCTTCCTGAAAACTCCACATCGTTCACTTTCGTGGCTGTCGAGACAAAACATACAGTTAAACTGTTTGTCTTCGGTAGAACTGGTATAAACCGGCTTTATGTCAGTTTTCTTCTGCCAGAGTTTCTCTTCTGTAGGACGAAAGTAAATACTCAGGATTGAGCATTGTTTTTCCAACCAAGTGGAAAACTCCTTCAAGTCGGGACTGCTTAGAGCATTATTACTTACATGTTCAGCCCACCTGTATTTTAAACTATAGGGAAGTTTGTTGAGACATTCATTTAGTAAGTAAGGATTTAATACATAATTTTCTAGATGTAATGACTCTGCTGTAGCAGTAAAATTCAAAATATTTGTCGAAAACTCAACAAGACTTGTAGTGTCGTCTTCCTTGACAGAAGGTAGCCTACGAGTCTTTTTTAACATTGACTCCAAAATGAGTTCTGGTCTACCAAAACACATCTGTAAGGTCTTGATAATTGACTTAAGATTTTGACTTGAGACAAAAAGAGGCTTAACCATTCTAAATGCTTCTCCCTCTAGGCAATTCCTTACTCTTATGAGGTTGTCATCCTCACTAAAAAGATAGGCAGTTTTTTCATACGCCGAAAAAAATATCGGCCATTCATCAGGCTTGCCACTGAAGCTTGGAAGTTTTTGACGAAATGAAACAGGCTGTATAGCTTTTTGGAAGGTATCCGCAAGCTTTTGCACGGCTGAGGTCATGATGGCTGATGAGGACTTAAGAACTGTCGGTTCTTTTTCATTCAACCACCTTTCAACCTTGCTTTGCGGTTCTTCCTCATCATCAAGATTTATGCTAAGTCCTACCTTGGTTTCAGATCGATTACTAGGGCGGCTTGACTGTTGACTGCCACACACTGAAGCAGACTCAAGCTCAGCTCTCGCTGTCAGCAGTTGCTTCTGTCGTTCTAGTTCTCTAGCTTCCATTCGTCGTTGTCGCTCCATTTCTTCAACTTGTCGTTGTCGTTGTCGCTCCATTTCTTCAACTTGTCGTTGTCGCTCCATTTCTCTTTCCTCATGGGCTCTTTCCAATTTCTGTATTTCTTCCAGCTTCTTCAACTCCACTTCCATTAATCGTCGTCTACTAGAAGAAGTACTAGATTTGGCAGATACTGATGGTTGGTCATTACTTGGCTTTGGATTAACAGTTTTGTCGTTGTTATTCCCAATTGCTGGAGTATATCTGTCTGGAGGGTGTCTTTCCCTCTCTGATCTCCTTATTGACATGATAAAGTCGGGTTTCGGCACCAAATGTAAAAAATATTAAAGACAGACAAGACTTTGACAAAAAAGATGTGTGTATTTGTTGGACATTATTTACAATCATAATAATAATAAAACATGTGTTAGTTCAATTAAAATAAAGAAGGCAGGCATAAATTAAACATATTAAAGAACACAAATCAATGAGTCAATATGAAACATATTACATTAGTCAATTTCCCATATAGGGAATAAGCTATTACCGTAGTACTCATGGTAAGACCTGGACCCGGCACCAATTTACTTTTTTGTTTTGAGGTCCCTAGAGGCCAAAAACACCATCCGTTCAAATTCATATATATATATATAGCCTATTATGTTAGCACGATAACTCGAAAATAAATTTTCTGCCATCTCGAGATTTTTAGTACAAAAATATAGTTACGAGTTCTGTAGCACTAAATTAAAACAGAAAATTATCCTATGAAGATTTAATAAACGGAAAAATTTTATCATTTTAGTGATGGGTTCTGTTTTTATTAAATTTAGTAAGATTTATGTTAAAATAGAATTTACCATTCAACTTCCCTTTCAAGCCCACTTTTAAATTGTCGTAGTGTTGTACTGACTAATGTTTGTTGTTGTAGAGTCAGAGACTGAGGCGACCCACGTCATCTACCCCGTGTGTGATCCTCTAGATGAGGAGTACGCCAGGCCATCACTCAAGAGAGATCGTATGGTGCTAATGCATTGGTACTACTTCCCGGACTCTCATGACTCCTGGATATCTGCAGATCTCTCCATAGATCCTCCAGATAGTCCCCCTCCTCACTCAGGACCTTGGAGAGTAAGTTTCTGCAGCAGACACAATCCCTCAATATATATCCATGTCTATGCACAACCAAGTGTCTCATTATAAAATCTAGTTTTTATTTTTGAATTTACTTACCCCCTTTTTAAATTTCTACTGAGATGTTCTAGCTATCAGGCGTGTTCTAAATTTGTTCAAACTTAACCCATTGGAGACTTATCATGGAACTGTTTCGTGATGAGGACATAGCATTATTATTGATTTTTAAAATAATTAATTGTTGCGTAGTTACTTAGTTTCATGTATTGAAATGTTTCTAAAAAGTTTTGGTTTAATTATTCGTCTGTCCATCAAACAATTTTAAAATATGTCACAATTTTTTCAGCTGTTTAATATATTACTAACTTCATTATTAATTAACTGGCATTCTTTTAACTTACAATACCAAAAGTAACTTTTTATAGCATACGTTTATAACACCATGTCTTTATTTGTACAGGTTTCTGCCTCCTGGGCCCTTGACCTTGATCAGTACAACGAATGGATGAATGAAGAAGATTATGAAATGGATGAAAATGGAAGGAAAAAAGTACACAAGGTATAGTATCATTAGTAATTGACTAATTTTGTAACAATTTCATCCATTAGAAGTAGCAATATTTTATCTCAAACAAATGTTTGTCAAATAATTTAAAATGTGTTGGCCTTTAACTATAACCATGCAGATACACTCATGAAAATGACAATTATGAATGGTGATATTTGAAATCGTCAGCCATTTAAAACCTTGACCGTTTCTTAACCCTTTGCTGTCTGTAGGACACATATAGTGCCCACTGTCCTTATCGAGTCAGAAAGTAGGGATGGTATAAACATTTTAGTTTATTATGTTTAAAATAAGATTTAGGTTTTTGTTTTTACAACTAAAAAAGCTTAGGCTATATAAAAAAGTAGGGATAACATGAAATCTCAACACTTCATCCGGTAAATCCCTTTTTTGCTACACCACTGTGAAATGACATGTTTTCGTTGCATGTTTATCACCTGCGAAAATCTATCATTACATTTTTTACTACAGCAAAAGAATGTTTACTATGCAAAAGTAATGTTTACTATCTTTTTTGGATTTTGCCGATGTAAACAAACAAATACTTGTTATTATTTTATCAACTGTACCTATCAATTTTCAACAACTAACGTTAACATTAACTTTAAATTGAATTGAGTTTTGTAATGAAGATGATAATTAGTCTTTGTAGTGGAGCTATAGTGTATGTAGTGTATGTGTATGTGTGTGTGTGTGTATAGTGTATGTGTGTATTTATTTTATAGGCTACACAATTATCACCTTGAACATGGTAGGTAAAACAATTAGAAGTGCATGTTGTGATGGTTCAACATAGAAGGCTTTATTCCGTTAGTGAGTGGCCTAACATATCTGAGAGACAGATGCAGGGCATAACCGACAATACGTAGCTCAGGGATGGGACTGGGCACTATTGGTGGCCCAGAGATCGTTCCAGCATATTGCTAGTGTTCTGTTTAAGCCACTGAGTGGCCTAACATATCTGAGAGACAGATGAGGGGCATAACCGCCAATACGTAGCTCAGGGATGGTTAGTGGCCTAGAGATTGTTCCAGCAGACTCCATACCAGTCCGTAATTGTTATAAAGTATATGTAATCTTGCACTTCAATAATCTAGTAAATATGTTTCAGCTCCGATTATCAGTGGAAGATTTAATGAGCCAAGGTGATCCAGATAAATCAAAGAAAAAACAAAAGAGGAAGAGATCTCCTTCCCCACCCCCAAAAGGAAAACGAAAGAGGTAATTGTTAAGAATGACTACAGAATAAAAAAAACTATTTTATGTTTTCCAAGCAAATTGTTTTTAATTCTCAATCTACTTGTATGGATGAATTTTAATAATTCTTTAGCAATCACTGTCCTGTGTACTGATGCTCATGTGTTGTTGATGTCAGTGGTCGCAGCCCTGCTGTGGGGTCCAAGAAGCCAAGGTCGGATGACAATGATGACGAAGGTGATGACTTGACCAAGGACATGGCTGAGCCCACACCTGAGCCCAACATAACTGAGGTGCCAGTCCCCAAGCCAGGTAACTTTTACACATTAACTGCAACAGTATTCAAATTAGTAACTATTTGTATTTAAAAAACCAAAAAAATAAACAAAACTTTTGTAAATTCAAAAATGTTAGTGTTAAACAGTGAATTGGTAACCTTTCCAGTTTGCCGTTTTATTACAAATAACAATACGTTTCTTTAATGCTTGATAGTTTCATTAATCCACGTGCTCACAGTCAAAAATTACTTAGTGAACTGGAAAACTATCCTATACAATTTTTGACTTAAGCAGATTACATGTACAGAAAAAATGTTACATTTGACTGGGCTGGGCCCCCTTCGGAGCCCTGGGCCCGGGGTCTCTAGCCCCCCCTGCCTCACTCTTTAGCCGGCCCTGAGTTTCGGTTTTAAGATTTGATCACAGTGTTTCGAGATTCTCAAGTTTCAAAATTGAAGATTTTGGCAGTTATTTTTGAAACTGCGGACATTTTTTGTGTAATTTATTATTGTTTTTAACACTTTTTCCACACAATCTCAAAGAAATATTGCCCACTAAATGTTCTAATTAATCTAATATTCATGTTTATGTTGGTTTAGGAGTTAAATTTATTTTAATGTTAGTTGTTTACAAAAATTTTGTTGTAGGCCTATTGGGTTTTAAGATTACCAGTCACATATATGTTATGTGAGGGTCAGGAGTCGATATCTTTCAGTGTTGATAGCATACTTAACATTTTATTATTACCTGTATTTTTGTAATCTTGACCTTTGTAATCTGCTAAGTAAAAAAGTTTTGTGTTTAGGTTTTAAGATTCGGGATTAGGCCTAGATTTTTTATAGTTTCAGTTCTGAGATTAGAGATTTATGGTTTTGACTATCACTACTTATCAGACTTGGAAACAATATGCCTCGAGCACTTGGATGCCTCGAGCTGAGCTGAATAATTGAGAGCTCAACCAAAAAGCTCGAAGGTTTGAGTACGCCCACACCCCTAATTTTTAAAAATATCTACTTTTTGTCATTTACAGTCCCTCAAATTATTTTAAAAAGTTTTTTCTTTCAAAATGATTAATAAAAGCTTAATTTGTCTTCTGATGTGCAATTTGCTGTACCACTGTGCAAAGTGGCATTTCTGGCATTCCTTACAAGTGATGCTGCCAACCCTTCATGTAGCATGACGTTTGTTTGTACTCCTGGTACCAAACTGCTTGACTATTTATTGGTAATATAGACTAATTTGTTTACTAATAAAGATATTCCTGTTATATATTGATGAAATCAGGGTTACAGTAGAACCTCAATTAACCGGGGGCAGATAAACCGGGTACTAGATCAACCACGGTCTATAGAAATCTTTAAAATTAGATTACATAACCTCATTATCCAAGGAAAAATACTGAAAAATATTTTACTATTTTTTAAAGTAGCCGTTTTGGTTTCATTCAATTCTTAGAATAGAAAAGATTCACTTAACAGTATTGTTTACTTACTTAACAGCATTGTTGTTCTGAAACAGCATATACCGGTAGCCTATTACTAGCAGTAGCTTACTAGACTTTCTGTTTGGTTCTCTATGTGATTTATTGCTGTAGGTATAGTGGTTAGCAAATATTTTGTTGTGATTTTAACCTAAATAGTTTTTTTAACTGAACAAAGGTTAATGACGAAGAATACCATGATTGCACAATATATACTTTGTTGATGTAAATATCCAAATTATGAGATTAATGTATATCTATATTTTATTAGCTTGACAAATCATTTTATTTTGCAGGTTCTTCGATATCTAAGAAAGACATTGACACACAGCCTATAAAAAGTGGTACCATTGCTGACTTGGATGAGGAAGGAGAAAAAAATGATGATGGTGATCCTGCTAAAAGCCCTGACAATCAAAATCATCAGGTAAATCATTACTTTTTTTTCTTCACCCCATGAGATTAAAATCTTATTACTATAGTAAACGTCTTTGAACCACGACATGGGTGTTTATCTGACTAAAAAACAATCTTATGATTTTATAGCTGTTATGCCTAATTTAGGTTAATAACTTTATGTTCCATTATAACAAAGTTGGTTTCAATATTATAAAGCTCATTACATTATTAAATGTAATTTTCAGAATTTGTCTTCTTGAATTTTGTATTAATGTAAAGGAACTATAACTGTGGTTTTTACTATGTACCCAACCGTGAATTGTTGCTATAAAAATCGAATTGCTATCAAATCAACTTATGCCCCACAATGGGTTCAGCATTGGCTATTCTCAGGATTGAACAAGCAAGCTTAGAACTTATTATTGTCTTATAGATATGCATCATGTAATTCAAAATAATGACTTTCAGGACGGCAGCAGTAAAGACAAGGACAAGGAAGACACACATGAGGACAATGTGACTGAGCAAACTCATCATATAATCATTCCCAGCTACTCAGCTTGGTTCGATTACAACTCTATCCATACGATCGAGAAAAGAGCTTTGCCAGAGTTTTTCAATGGGAAAAACAAGTCAAAGACTCCTGAAATATATCTTGCGTACCGCAACTTTATGATTGATACATACCGCCTCAACCCAACTGAGTACATTACCAGCACTGCAGCTCGACGCAACCTAGCTGGTGATGTTTGTGCGATCATGAGGGTGCATGCCTTCTTGGAGCAGTGGGGACTCATCAACTACCAGGTAGGCCTCATTTTAATATGATGATTGTAAAGCTAAATATAAAATTTTAAAATAGGCACTAATTCAGGTAACAAAATTTAGAAACCGTTTAGCTGTCATCAGTCAGAGTTTATGAATATTAAACTATCACTGAGCATAATTGAACTTCTCACCCTCATTAGAAGATTTATTTGAAATTGAACCAATAATGTTTGTTCAGAAATGTTTGATTTACTTTAGTGATAAGCTCAAAAAGTCTCATGATGACCCTCTACCCTGTATTATAGCCTGGAAAACAGAGAAGACTATATATTTAGTATTGAGTGTTTATCCCATTAAATGGATCAGATCTTTCCCTTATGAACTTCCTATCTCTGAAGACTAACAATTGTATTGATAAACATGAGTTGCATCAAAACTATGTATACCGTATAAATTTTAGGGGTCTGCGGGCCCGAATATTTACTCTGGCTGAAGTGGTTTGGCCTAAAAACAGATTGGGCCAGAACCGCATTACTTTGTAAACTACTGATCTTATAAAATATTCTTTGTTATACAGGGCTTCAAATGTTAATTAAATATTATTAATATTGTAACAATTATCATTGGCACAGAAAAATCGTGAATATCTTCTGTGATCATGGCAAAAACTTTTCACGGTTGCCCCCCCCCGCGGTCTCGTAGACATAATGGTCTTATGGCACCCCGATTGTGGCAAAATCATGAACATCTCTGCGATGGAGATGCAATTTTAAATATCTCGAAAGGTCCGGCAAAGTTATAAATGTTGCCTGCAGTTGAGATTAAAGCATGAATGATTCCTGCAATCTCGGTGAATGTCACTTGCGGTCACAGAACAATTATGAAGATCTCCTGCAGTTGAGTTATACAATTTTTTTCTTCTGTGATTGATTACGGAAAAATCATGAACATCTCTTGCAATTGTTGCAAAATTGTGAATTTTCCAATGCACAGTGGTAGACGCTTTTTAGTACTGAAAATTCAGCTGCTCGTCCACTTCTAATATAAATGACCCGACTTAAGCTTAGCCTAATAAATTATAAACGGCCCAAATCAACCTAATATATGCGAGGGGTTGCCGAGCAGACCCCCAATTCAGGTAAACCTTAACCTTAAACAGGATCTTGACATCTCCGACTATAAAAACGTATGTTGATGTATTTGACAAAGTTGACTGCTATATGACAGGTGGATGCAGACAGCAGACCTACTCCAATGGGGCCTCCCCCCACCTCTCACTTCCATGTTCTGTCCGACACACCATCCGGGCTGCAGCCTGTCAACCCACCAAAGACTCCACAACCTTCTGCAGCCAAGACTCTGCTGGACATGGACAAGAAGGGTGATTCCACAACCAAGAAGCCAGACAGTGATCTTGGAATCAACTTTGGACTCAAATTGGATCAGTAAGTTGAAGTTGGATTTAGTAGATAGATAATTGTACCTTTTGACTGCATGAAGTGGTGTTCAAGCTCTTACAGAGAGGTTTTTGTGTCCTAAAGAGTTGATATCTAGGTTTGACTCTGTCAGAAAATTCAATAACTCCGGCACATTTGAATAACTTAATAAGATTAATCTTAAAAAAATGTGCTGATCATCGTTCAAAGTTAAACATTCCATGTGTTATACTTCGTTCACAATATTTTGGCAGTTTGAGGGGAAGATCCCCACCATTTTTATTTTGTTTTTAATGTATGTTGCTTAATCAGCTGTTGAGCTGTTATTTTAAAGGTAAGGGTCAAGTGGAGGGGATAGATATTTTCCCCTAAAAACCGCCTAAATATTGTGAACAACAACAAAGTCTACTGTAGTTTGTAATTTGTTGTAAGTATCAACAGCAAAGCAATTTGGAGTAAAGCAATCAGCAGCAAACCACCCCCCCCCCCTACTGATTTTTTTCTGTATTAGCCTATTTTTCTACAGAGTTATTTCTGCTATCATCTATACTTCAGAAAGATAATCATATTTTAGAGGAATAGTTATTTTTTAGTCTCTAAATAAACAGGAAAAATTATGTTTTTAAGACGTGTCATTTATAAATCTCTGACACAATCAAAATTGTTTTTTAATAATAAAAAAATCCACAAACATTTGAAAATTATTTAAACTAAAAGCGAACTAGAAAATAAAGAATAGAAATTACATAGAATGCATATCTTGATGGAAACTGATTAGGTACGCCCGAAAACCGGCAGTCCTGCGTAACAAGACAGCAGCATCCATGACAAGAGACTGGACAGAGCAGGAGACTCTTCTGTTGCTAGAGGGTCTGGAGCTGTACAAGGACGACTGGAACAAAGTATGTGAACACGTCGGGTCTCGCACTCAGGACGAGTGTATACTGCACTTCCTCAGACTACCCATAGAGGACCCATACCTGGAGGACCATGAGGCTGGTTAGTGTACAATATAGTTAAAAAGCTGAGCACCGAAAGCTTCACCCCAAAGATATTCTGGTACACCAAAGTTTATTAATTTTGTTCTTACTTATGTTGAACAGTGTTCGGTTCATTCACTCTGATTTTCGGTTACTTTGTCAACTGTATGATAATTTTATCATACAGTTGACAAAGTAACCATTTGTACTGTAATCTAATACCCTTATTTTTGGAAAAACACTTGAATTAACTTCTCCTCCATTGTCAAGTCTAATATTCTTAGCTTTCACTCCATGCTGAGTCTCAACTTCATTTATATAGTTTATCAAGTAATCTTGTGCTTCACTCTGTGTAAGTAGGTTAACTACTACAAAGTTAGAAAAATTATCAATTATCGCTTGATAATATTTTTCTCCATTGTGTGATAGAAGGTTGACTGGTGCGCATATATCGGAATGGATTAACTCACCTATTTGTCATTCTAGTACCCTTGCCTTGGATTCATGTAGAACATTGTTCCGAAGAGCTTGGCAATCCCAGTTATAACAGACTTTTTCTATTCAAATGACCAAGTCTTCTGTGTCATAGATTGCCGTCTTCTTTTTCTGAGACTAAACACTGGTTGTTAGTATTAACATATGGAGCTGAAACTTGGATTTTAAATAAAAAAGAAGGAAACAAAATGATTGTTTTTGAAAACAAAATTTTAAGAATGGTATATGGACCAATACAAGAAAATGGGGAATGGAGAAAAAGGCATAATAGGGAGATAAGGAATATGTACAATGATTATGATGTAGTAGCACACGTGAAAGCAAGGAGAATAAGGTGGGCAGGACACGCACTACGGAGAGAACGAGGTTCACTACTAAAAGAAGCAAGTATAGGAAAGCCAGAAGGGAAACGACCATTAGGAAGGCCCAAGAAGAGATGGTGGGATAGTGTTTCCAGGGACGTCAGAGAAGTGGGGGCAGAAGTGGAAGAGGCAGAAGATCGAGAGAGATGGAAAGCAGTTGTTGGTGCGGCCAAATCCCGCCTTGGGCATAAATGGCCATGGGAGTGAGTGAGTGAGTGTAAACACTGGTTGTTAGATAATATTTCACAGTATAGCTCTCTCAACCTCTCTCAAAGTTACATACAAATTTTAAATCATTACCAATAATTTTCATGTAGATTGTGTCAATAACGTATTGTATGGTTAACAAAATATGTAAACACTTTGGGTGACATGCTTCTCAGACTGTTAGAGGACCATAAGGTAAGGTAGTGTATAGGCTATTGATTGAGTTTCGCTACTTTTTGTAAGTAGTATAGTAATGTTTGTAGGGATCATATTTTATTAATAATTACAACTTACGTCAATCAATCCAGTTATGTTTATGGAGGACGCACGTTTCGACCTTTAGGTCATCTTCTGCTCCGCTGTTGCACTAGGTTATTCCATACTTAGTTGTATTGTTGGTGTAGCAACCGTGTCAAATATTTTACATTGAAAAACATAGTCTGACCACGTAAACATAAAAACACAAAAACACAACACTGACGAAGACGAAGACATTTAAATAAAACTATCACCGTGCGCACGGCTGAACGGGCTCGGGACTCACATGAGCACTTCTGCTCACAGGGGAGCGGAAAATGACCTAAAGGTCGAAACGTGCGTCCTCCATAAATATAACTGGATTGATTGACGTAAGTTGTAATTATTAATTTATACATTAATCTGTTTGCTATAAATCAATCATGACATATTTTAATGTTTTGTCTGATAATCATGGGGCATAAAGAAGGTTTGTTCCATGGATGTTTTCAATGTCATTGTTCAAACATAAAGTAGACAAATCAAGAACTCTAAATATAACATGTTTGACTACTGTATGTTTAATTTGTAGGTGGTGCACTTGGACCTTTAGCGTATCAACCCATTCCCTTCAGCAAGGCTGGCAACCCCATCATGTCTACCGTAGCATTCCTGGCGTCAGTGGTGGACCCTAGAGTGGCTGCGTCCGCTGCAAAGGCTGCAATGGAGGAGTTTGCCAATATCAAGGTCTGTAAATGTCCAACATTAGTTCCACAATAACTAAAACTTAATACAGGGAGAGGCAAAATGATCTGACGGTTTTCTTTGCCGCCCTGTTCAGCGAGCGAGTGGCGGAGGGTGGTGGGAATAGGGGCGTTACAAAGCCAAGGTGCGGACATTTTTAAAAGCCATGGAGTTGTGGACAGCTGATCACCATGTATTTGCAGTGGAAGTGCTTTTAAAAGTTGCAATTCATGTGTAGCTGTTCATTGAAAAAAGTCAACAGGCCATCCAATGTCAGCTTGGACGCCAGAGAACGTCAAGAAAGTGAGGAAGACTGTGTGGTGTGGTTGAAAGGGCGATTCGTCGCTCATAATGACAATTTTGTCACGTGAATGCAGATCAATCACTCGTTCTGAAAATGAGATGTTCTTTGCATAACCACTGGGCTTTAACTGTTGCACTATTGCCATTTTGTATGGATGAAAGTGCAGGTCATATTGCAATACTCTTCTACCAACTGGCCAAACATGCAGAGCTGCAGCTTATTTAAGTTTGTTTATTTAAGAGGACTAGCTTCCACAGCTTCTCTCACTCTTTCGACGTTCTCTGACGTCCAGGCTCACTTTGGACGGCCTGTTGACTTTTTTCAATGTTGAACTAGCAGTTCTAAAGTTACCCACCCAGAGCAAAATGGTGTCTCGAGTTGGGACTTTTCTCCTTGGACCCTCATTGAAACATACGGAACTGTTGCTGAACTTCTGCGAAGAAGTCGGGCATTGTGCGAGAGATCCTCACGTCGACTTAAGAAAGATTATATTACGGTATATCTTTTTTATCATCAACAAGTTTGGTTGTTTAGGTTAGGTTAAGACAGTTTAATTTTATAATTAAACATTTACAAATTAATTTTATAATAAAAAATCTATATAAAGCCCAAAGTACCCATGAACTTTTTGAGAAATTCAAGTCACACCCCCATAAACCATATACTTAAAATGTTGGTCATGACGAGAAACCTTGCTCAAAACTATCCATTATTTCATAAATTGCCCTTTAAGGTCGTAATTCCTTTCTAAAGGGAACTTTCCATATACCTAATGTTAAAAATACCTCAGCTGTACTTTTTTGTGTGTATTACTGTATTCTGTTTTGTTTATTTCAGCTTAACTTAACCAATCAATAATTTTATTAATACGTATGAAGTCAAACGGGGTAAAGCCCCTGGGTAAAAGCTAGCATTTTTATCTTTTTTATATTATCAGTAAGTTTGGCTGTTTGTGTTAGGTGATGACAGTTTAATTTTATAATTAAAAATTGTAAAATTAGTCCTATAATAAAAAAAAATAATTTTATAATAATAAAAATAAAATTAATTTTATAATTGTTTTTAAGTCGACGTGAGGGGCTCTCACACAATGCCAAATTTCTTCGCAGAAGAGGTTTACATCGGCTTCTGACCAGGCGCCTTAGACGCCAGTCTCGGCGCGCGGTGTCACATTTTTGATGTTGACTCTACTTGGACAGTTAAACACTCAGACACTTGATATTTCGATATTTTTTAAAAATAATTTAATAAACTCGGACAGTTGACGTATCTAAATATTATTAATTATTTATCAAAACTCGGACAAATGAAACTCGGACAAATGAACCTCACCCAAATTTAAGTTTATTTTACCATTACTTCTTACCCAATCACAAGAATTATCCCATATTTTTACAGTATACAGTGGCGTTGCTTGGTTACATTCCAGGGGGGGGAGAAGCCTCAAATTTCCCAACTGCTAAACATAGATTTCCCAACTATTTTTTTTTAGAAACCATTTTCTGTACTATTTTTAAAAATCTACAAATTATTATACTACACTGCAGTAACATTCAATTCAGTATTTATAAACTTGCATTAACAAAACATAGCTAGTTTTACATATATACAAAATTACTCAATTTCTAAAACTTCTACCAATTCATAATGCAATTTTATGACTTCAAAAAACTTGAACAAGTAATGTTTCAAATCCAAAAAACTTTACAAACCATTGTGGTAAGTTAGCAGACGTAGCAGTTTAAAATTTTAGGGATATAAAATAAGCCTCAGAGTACAAATTAGTATAGAAAAAATATTTTATTAGAAAATAATGAAATTAAAATACTTTTAGAAGTTAAGATCAACATTTTAACTTTCATAAAACTTACAACTAGGGTAGGCCTAAACAAGTTTGTGATGATGAAATATTAATATCAGTGTTTTGAATAATATTATTCTAGTCTAGAAAAAATAAACCTAAAATAAGACTCGTATAAAATAAAAACGTTCAACTTGGTTGATAACTTATACATACAATAAAAATGTTAACCTTCATCTTCATCAAACTAGAACTTATACAAAAATCAATCTTGGGTGAAAGTCAAACATCAAATTTTAGGTTATGTTTTGTCCACGTAGATCTCTGTTTCAGAGTGATTAGTTGATTCATTTTTGTAAATCCTTAATAAGGAATGATAAATAACTTGTGTAGATTTTTTAAATATATTCAGAGAATACATATTCCATTTAGGTTATTAAAAAATAAGAGTTTTAAAGGTAATACCGATACACAAAACCTATCTTTAATGTTATTTTAATCTGCTTATTAGCAAGTACTCCGGTCAGTTAGCCTGCTCCAAATACCACAAAAAAGGTAGAAAAAAATATTTCATGTGACTGACGTGAAAAATATTTTTGAATTTCTTGTAAACACTAACAAACAACATAATTGAACAGAAGAGCTACATTGCTTGCACTTTCAAAATTCAAACTCGCAGACAAATCATTCAGAATCATCAACACAGGACAGGATCAAGGTAGCCAACATACGTCCAATAAGGAACAAAATTTCTAAACGAAATTCCAACAAGCTATACCACTAATTGATTATTGATTTCTTAAAATAAGGCGTGTTTAGCCTTTGTTTAGCCTTGTTTAATCAAAGTTAAATGAAATCAAAGAAGCGTCAAGTTTATTTGTCCAAGTCAAAGAAATTTTTATCTTTGATGGATTTTCTTTTTTGTTTTTTTTTTTTAAATTTTTTTTAATTTTGTTTGGCTTAAAAATATATTTTTCTTGTATCTGACTTCCCAACTGTCCCAACTCGTGGTAAGGAAATTCCCAACTTTTCTCTTTCCCAGATTCTAGGGGGGGGAGGCTCCCCCCCTACCCCCCCCCCCCCAAGGCGACGCCCCTGACAGTATATCATGAATACGTAAATATAGGACCAGCAGGATAGATTTTATCTTGTCTAATTTATAAGATGTTGATGAGTGAATATGTTATTGATGCAAAGTGAGGATATGTTCATTTTTTCCACGACTTCACTAAGCAATGGAGATCAGAGTGGATAAAGTTGTTGGAAGAAATGCATCACTGGTTCAACCGTCATGTCCAATGTATAAAAGCCAGAGCCACAATGTTCTAAACAAAATTAAAATTGTGACATGTTCAATGTAAATCAATCATAGATTCACTGTTATATAATAACCAAACCCCAAAATCTGACCGTGTTAAAATGTGCATTGAATGAAAAAAAGAGAGCATACTTGTGTTTTGGCCATTATGAAACTTGAATTTAGTAAACAGAACACCTTACACCTTCTGCATAGATCTTTTGTCAATTTTAGGATGAAGTTCCAGCTGCTTTGATGGATGCTCATATCAAGAATGTCGAGGCCTCTACAGCTGATGGTAAATTTGATCCTGCAGCCGGCCTTGTCCAGGTAACTAAAATAATGAACAATCCTACTCAACCTGTACCTGTACTTTGTACTGTACATAGACTTGTCAACTTCTTATAACCGGGGTTAAAAATAAACTTACCTAAACTATATTTCTCAAACCAAGAAAATAAATATCTACTATAATTTCTGGCATAATGAATCATACATTTTTTGATACTGGGTGTCCCATATGTAAAACCGTCAAACTCTGAGAAATGGTTCTATGGGTCAAAATATAGAGAAAATCAAGAATAACCTTTGTTCCAAAATCGCTTCATTAACCAGATATCCGCCATTTTGTTTTTCTCACATAAACATTTTTGTCCTTGAATTTTTTCAACCGATCATTATGAAACTTGATACGTATGTTTAAGTAAAACAGACCCCATTAGCAACAAATTTTATCTTAATCCAATTCAAAATTTCAAAAATATAGCCATTTTATTCTTTTAAAATTGAAATTGCAAAACAATTTCTAGGATACATTTAATAAATATTTCCTTTTAATTAAAAAATATACTAAAAATACTTATAATTATTTAAAATTTCCTATCAAACGACACCAAGTTCAAAAAGATCAAATAAAAATAACTGAAATATCATGATTTTTAGTTATAAAATGGTGTTGAACAAGGCTAAGCTAGTATGGTTTGCCTCATTTTACAACTAAAAAACCGTGATTTTTCAGTTATTTTTATTCAATATTTTGAACTTGGTGTCATTTGATAGGAAATTTTAAATGCTAAATAAAAGTTGTTAAGACATTTTTTCATAAACTAATGAATTAGCCATTTTTTAGGAATTTCAATTTAAAAACTAAAACAGCCGCCATTTTGAAATTTTGAATTGGATTAAGATAATTTTTGGTTGGGTCATTCCATGCCCATTCATCCAGGTCATGTCACCCATGATCTCAGATTTGGCTGATTTTTTTTTTATTTGTTCATTTGACCATTTTAATACGATATACCAAGTTTTATAAAATTATTTTGAATAGTTTTTGAGTTATGAATTTTTGAAATTTTGCAAAATACGCTTATAACGGCGCTTCCGAGGCGAAAAGGTTCGGTGACGTTCTTATATAAAAAAATCCATAACTTCTACAATATTTAACATAAAGCAATAGTTTTTTCACCAAAATGTTCAGAGAAATCAGAGAATTATAGAAAAAATACATTTGGCTAGTTATTTCTTCACATTTATGTGTAATGCATTGCTAAATTTACATTTTGAGTTATTTTTTAATTTACAAACAAAAAATCTTTAAAAGCGATTATTGACCAAAGGCATAGCAGTAACCAAAGCAATTTTTTTTGTAATTAACCCTAAAGATATAAACTAAAGTAATCTGGAATAAAATTAATGGTTTTTTACCAGCTAATATTTTTTTATATTCATTAAGTTACAATATGGGTTATGGCGAAGAAATCCTATGAAATCGATAACTTGACTTTGCTATCCAAGTTTAAAACCTCTAATATTCATCCAATTGCAAACAACATATTTTAATTAAATTAATGACTTGTCAATAGTCAATACTTAAAATTTATGCACTAACCCTTAGATATTAAATGTGAAAACATGTGTTTTTAACTGTTACCGGTACCGTATACTAGGCTGTACATAAAATTAAAGCTGCAGTAAATGATAGGCTATACCAATTATGTACTTACAAAGAAATGTATTTATTATTTATACAAGGGCTTATTTGATTAGAACATTTTTGTGATAATCATAAAGGTCTTTAACAGTAGAGGAGTTACCTTAGTTTTGGATATGGATGGGTGTGAGCCTCAACATTTTCTTACAATGCAAGTCAGCAGCTTGAACTTCCTTTTCAGGAAAATAATACATCCTCCTTGAGCCTTTAGTTGTAGGTGGATTGACACTTGAAATTATGTTGCATAGGCCAGTAAAACGATTTTGCTGGTCCGTGGGGATGTAGAAATTTAACTTTAATATCACACTCAATGTCTTTTTTTTCTCATGACTAATCCGAAACACCAATTGTCATCATAAATGCACAATGTAGTCAACCAAGCTATTGTCCTGTTAGATTTAAGCAAAAACAATTCCTATGTAATCTTACTAATATAAATGTGAAAGTTTGTGTCTTTGTTTGTTTGTTTGTGTGTTTGAAGTTCAATCACGCATAAACCACTGGACGGATTGGGCTGAAATTTGGCATGATGATAGCTTACATTCCCTAATACATATAGGCATATTCTTCGCTCAACCAAACTGGAGCGGAGCCCGAAAGGATTTTTGATGTAAGAATATGCCTATATGTTAATCGGGAATGTAAGCTATCATCATGCCAAATTTCAGCCCAATCCAGTGGTTTATGCGTGATTGAACTTCAAACACACAAACAAACAAACAAAGACACAAACTTTCACATTTATATTAGTAAGATTACATAGAAATTGTTTTTGCTTAAATCTAACAGGACAATAGCTTGGTTGACTACATTGTGTATTTATGATGACAATTGGTGTTTCGGATTAGTCATGAGAAAAAAAAGACATTGAGTGTGATATTAAAGTTAAATTTCTACATCCCCACGGACCAGCAAAATCGTTTTACTGGCCTATGCAACATAATTTCAAGTGTCAATCCACCTACAACTAAAGGCTCAAGGAGGATGTATTATTTTCCTGAAAAGGAAGTTCAAGCTGCTGACTTGCATTGTAAGAAAATGTTGAGGCTCACACGCATCCATATCCAAAACTAAGGTAACTCCCCTACTGTTAAAGACCTTTATGATTATCACAAAAATGTTCTAATCAAATAAGCCCTTGTATAAATAATAAATACATTTCTTTGTAAGTACATAATTGGTATAACCTATCATTTACTGCAGCTTTAATTTTATGTACAGCCTAGTATACGGTACCGGTAACAGTTAAAAACACATGTTTTCACATTTAATATCTAAGGGTTAGTGCATAAATTTTAAGTATTGACTATTGACAAGTCATTGTAATTTAATTAAAATATGTTGTTTGCAATTGGATGAATATTAGAGGTTTTAAACTTGGATAGCAAAGTCAAGTTATCGATTTCATAGGATTTCTTCGCCATAACCCATATTGTAACTTATATGAATTTAAAAAAATATTAGCTGTTAAAAAACCATTAATTTTATTCCAGATTACTTTAGTTTATATCTTTAGGGTTAATTAAAAAAAAATTTGCTTTGGTTACTGCTATGCCTTTGGTCAATAATCGCTTTTAAAGATTTTTTGTTTGTAAATTAAAAAATAACTCAAAATTTAAATTTAGCAATGCATTACACATAAATGTGAAGAAATAACTAGCCAAATGTATTTTTTCTATAATCCTCTGATTTTTCTGAACATTTTGGTGAAAAAACTATTGCTTTATGTTAAATATTGTAGAAGTTATGGATTTTTTTATATAAGAACGTCACCGAACCTTTTCGCCTCGGAAGCGCCGTTATAAGCGTATTTTGCAAAATTTCAAAAATTCATAACTCAAAAACTATTTAAGATAATTTTTTAAAACTTGGTATATCTTATTAAAATGGTCAAATGAACAAATAAAAAAAAATTCAGCCAAATCTGAGGTCATGGGTGACATTTTATTTTTTTATCGGATGATTTGAAATGGAATGACCCGGTTTTAACACATACCAAGTTTCATAATGATCAGTTGAAAAAACTCAAGGATAAAATAATACCCCTGCCGCATCAAACCTGCAGACTAAGCGAACTTCAACTTGTCTGATTACATTTTTACTAAAATATTTCCATAAATAAGACATATTTATTCCCTATTTAAATAACATTAGATTCAACAAGTGCTTAGGTTTGCTGCTACGGGGAAGGTAAAAAGTGTTTTTTGATCATACGTCAATAGTATAGGATGAAATAAATAAATTTGCCAAATTTTATCAATATATATCCATATAAACAAGTAAACTGCAAAAATTTTAATTTTTCCCATAAGAATAACATGGGAATTTTAAATTACACAATTTTTGAATTTTCTCCGTGACCGTTAGGCATACAACAGAGCTTCAATATACTAAATTATTTTTTTTTTTAAGCTCTACAAAACGGTTTAAAAAGAATTTCAATTTTTTTGTTTTTAGGGTCAAAAATGGGAAAACCCCATTTTCACCCCATAAAACCCCCCATAAACCCCCCTTCCCATGGTCCGATTATGCTGGATCGCGAACTCGCTTGAATAAACGTAGGTTTACACGTTTGTACCAAATTTCATCAAAAACGGATAATTTTTGCTTTAGTTATCGCGCTAACGGACTTATTATATATATTAAGCTTCATATAAATTATATATATATATGAATTTGAATGGATGGTGATTTTGGCCTCTGGGGACCTCAAAATGAAAAATTAAATCGGTCCCGGGTCCAGGTCTTACCATGAGTACTACGGTAATAGCTACTTCCCTATAGGGAAATTCGTTGAAATGTTGATGTTAAAAAAACAAAATGGCGGATATCTGGTTAACAAAGTGATTTTGTAAAAAAGTTATTCTTGATTTTCTCTTTATTTTGACCTATAGAACCATTTCCCAGAGTTTGGATGTTTACTTACGTGACACCCTTTATGATGTGTTCGAACATGATAATTTAATACACATATTGACAGTTAACATGATAACCAAAATCTCATAATTTCATTAGGCCTATGGTAAATATCTCTTAAAAAACAAATTATCCCAGTTATTTATACCAGTGAAAGATATACTGTATATACCACTTTCCATGATTTCAATTCTGAAAAGCCAACATTTAGTTTTCAATCTAAAAATAGTTGTAAATAAGAACTCCTTATGTAATGTAAACTGCTTTCTATATGACATTTAATTAATGATCATAATAGATTTTCTCATTTAAACTTAACCAAACTCCAAACTAACACATGTTAAATATTTTCAGAGTGGCATTGCGGGTACAGTACCTGAGAAAGAAGAAGAACCTGAAAAAGAGAAGAAAGAAGGTGACTCTCCAAAGGAAGGAGAGGAAGCAAAGCAAAATGGTGAAGAGCCTCCAATTGCTCCAGAAACAATTAAAAAAGAACAGCCGGAGAAACCCGCAGAGCCTGCACCTGAACCAATGGAGGAGGACAAAAAAGAAGAAGAGGAAGAAAGTGAGCCGCCAAAAGAAGAAACTGAAAGAGAAAAGTTGGTCAAAGATGCTCAACTGCAAGCAGCAGCAGCAGCTGCATTAGCCGCAGCTGCAGTGAAGGCAAAACACTTGGCGGCTGTGGAGGAGAGGAAGATCAAGTCTTTAGTGGCTCTGTTGGTAGAAACTCAGATGAAGAAACTGGAGATCAAACTGAGGCACTTTGAAGAGCTAGAGACAACGATGGAAAAAGAGAGGGAAGGGTTGGAATACCAACGACAACAGCTGATTCAGGAGCGACAACAATTCCATTTGGAGCAGTTGAAAGCTGCAGAGTTCAGAGCCAGGCAGCAGGCACATCAACGCTTGGCTGCGGAACAACAACAAACACCATCCACCACCCCCACCCCTCCCTCTCCACAGGCAGTTCCTACCCCCCACCCAGCTGCCACATCCCCCTCTCCGAACCAGTAGACATACTACATTTGCAAGTCTTCAAAGTTTGATTTGTGAATAATTTATATTCAAATGCAATGTAAAGATTAGTAATTTACTTATTTTAGAAGTATTAACTATTATAATAGGATAAACTGTTGTGTAACTTATATTACAACAAAATATTTTTTTCTAGTTTTCTTTGTCTTATGTATGTATTATTTTTAAATCAACCATAGTCAATTTCATTTTGTTATTTATTCTATATTACTTACTGGAAAACAGTTTTTGTATGACTGATTACACAACTTGAAAAAATAGGAATTTTTTACCTTAACAATTTGGTTGAAACATTTTGTACGGAGATTCAGAATATTTTTCGGGGGGTTAGATGTTTTAATTTACCAGTTGTCCAGTGGTTAAAACCATTCAGTTTTTAACAACTAAAGGTTGAACCTTCTGTGTTAATATACCTAGCACTTGGATGGCCTCCACAATGATAACCACCTTATCATTGTTGCTTTGTGACTCCTCATTGTGATAACCTAAAACTATCTAGGAAATAATCCCTACTTCTGAATTTCCATTATTTTTTGGAGGTAAATCTGTTTTTACACGAGCGTTTTTTTTTTTACATTTATTGTGGTGTTTATCCATTCAAGTACAGTCCAAACCTTGGTCTTGTTACTGTCTAACGTCCACCTTTTGTTAGATTAAATGACAGCCCAATGACACAAATGGCATCTGGGTCTGGTAACGATCTCGCTTTAAATTGAACTAGCAACCTTCAGATTCAAAGGCAAGCATTGTAACACTCGGCTGTCCAGACAAACAATGTTGGTATTGTAGTTAAAAAATAATTTACTCAAAACCCTTTTCTCTGTTCCATTTTGATTAAATTTTAAATACCTGTTATTTTGATTACTAGTATTTCATATTCCTTAACATCTATTCTCCTTGAACCATTTTACCATACAAAACTAGACATACACAGCTGGACATCAATTGCTAGGTTCGATATCAATAAGATGCTTACTAACAACCCTTCACCATTAAATGTGTTGTTAAAAAATTATATCTACTAAACAACACATTTCATGGTAGATGGTTTCTGGATGGTTGCTTATAAAGAAGTCAAGTATAACTACTTATTCCCATCACTCCAAAATCTGTGTAAATATTTATATCGTAATTCATAAACTGACGGCTACCTATAATAATAATAATTGAACACTAAGTCACACGCACATGATATTAGACTTATACTACGCTGTCACACCAGGGTGGTGAAGGATGACTGTGTCGATTAATTAAGAAAATGACTCTGTCACTAAGATCAGCTGGTTTTCCTTAGGGGAAAAAATTTATCTTCAAAAATAGTTATACTTTTTAATAATTTTAATTGAAATGGTGACCATACGAAGGTATATTTTAAGCCAAGTATGAATGGAGATGATTGTAGTAAAATGAGCATTTTCTCTGTTAGTCTACATCCCTTTTTCATTCGTCCTACTTAATTGATTTTTGCGATTGAGGTGTGTCATTGTAAAGCTTATGATTTAGCTAAGTGAACAATGGTAACTAAAAAGGTAATTTCCTTTAGGGCTTCGTCCCCCTAGCGTCTGATTTATTTCTATTCGCTTTAAAAGATCCAGTTATGCTGACCAACTTTCATTCATTATCAAGGTTTTAGATGTGAATTTTAATTTAACAGCAGATCCTTTAGTTTAAAGTGTAACCAGAGTTAGATTAACTAGCTGTCACCCACGGGCTTCACCCCGTTTGACTTCATAATGCATTAATACAATATTTTGATTGGTTAAGTTAAGCTGAAATAAACAAAACAGAATATAGTAATACAAACAAATAATCACACCTGAGTTTAATAAGGTAATAAATTAAAAGAATAACAAACAAATAAGTACAGCTGAGGTATTTTTACATTCGGTATATGGAAAGTTCCCTTTAGAAAGGAAATACGACTTAAAGGGCAATTTATGAAATAATTGATAGTTTTGCGCAAGGTTTCTGGTCATGTCGAACATTTTAAGTATATTGTTTATGGGGGTGTGACTTGTAGTTTTCTCAAAAGTTCATGGGTACTTTAGGATTTATATATAGATAAGAGACAAACTGTTTATGAAAATGAATTTTAAACAGGGTGCTTTTATTTATGATTGTCACCTGATTAAGGTAGGTAAATCCGGCTTTGTTTATGATGTAGCCTATATCTACAATCAACAAATGTAGTTGATTGTAAATTATAGTCGGTCCGTTTGGCTATGATACCCAGCGGATTAGGAACCTTCTCGGAACTCAACTCACCCTCTCGACCCGCTCGTCGGCCTGGCCAGAGACAAACAATGACTTACCCACTGGCACAGTCCCACAGATCTGTAACTTTTTTTTAAGTTAAAATAAATTGTTCTTTATAAATTTGAGTTCTACATGAAATTCCAAAAATAATGAGCCCAAACACGATGTGGATACTTATATATCTACGATCTGAAAGTAGTACAATTACTCTGTATCATCACCAGCTTTGTCAGACTTTCAGATTGTAGATATTAAGTATCCACATCGTGTTTGGACTCATTACTTTTGGAATTTAATGTAGAACTCAAATAACAATTTATTTTAACTTAAAAAAAAATACAGATCTGTGGGACTGTGACAGTAGGTAGGTAAACTTTTTATCAACGGCCAGCCTGGCATGCGGGTCTGAAGGTTGAGTCGAGTTCCGAGAAGGTTCCTAATCCGCTGGGTATCATAGCCAAACGGACAGACTATAATAGTTTTATTCACCTAATAACTGTCTGAAACAAACATGATCTTTGGAAGTTAAATGCGTATTGTATTTTTCGTTTTGCCTTGCAAACAAGTTGTGAATCCTATTGAAATGCAAACTTTGTGCACAGGTATCCTTGTTTATTATTATTTTTGGGGAATTTTAGTTTGGATTTCTGATCAGTATCCTTTTGTTGGTGATGTCACTTTTTTAGTTTTTTATGAATAAAAAATAATGAAAGGTAAGAGAAGAGAGCCACATCTACTAATGCACCTTGTTTATGCTATGTATTATTATTATTGTAGGTAGCTGTGATAAAATCATAAATTTTAACCTCTAGAACACTAACATTTATGTAGATAAAAAATTGTCTTTATTTAATTTCTAAATACATCATATACGAAGGCATTATTAAATTAAAACCTTTATTTGTTAAAAAGTACGTTTTACTGTAGTTGACTATAATTGGTGTGTAAGGCTGACATTTTTTATCAGGTGTGTAAATTTGTATGTGATCTTGAATGTATTAAATAAACATGAATGTGAAAAGTTGACTGTTGACATTTTTTCCTTCACAATGGGGCTATACAAGCATAATGCATTAATGCATAAGCATGGCAGTTACGCTACACAAGGATAATGTGGTTCTTAAAATCTACTGTAACCGAATATTATGTTACTGATTTGGAAAAAGCTAATACTTTTGGCCTCAACCCCCTAAATTTAACCTTTTGACTATTAATACCAAATAGTCAATGATTTAACCTAACCATAAAAAAAAAAACACTGTCAAAATAAGTTATATGTTTCTATTATCTTAAGAAGTTCGAATTAAATTAACTATTAAAACTCATAACTTCTCTGGGAGGTTATTTTTTAGGGATGAGCATCGATAGTCGATGTTTTCGAAACATTGATGTTTTTGGCCAGGAATTTAAATATCGGTGTTTTCATGACTGAATTGTATTCGTTTTAGGTTAATTAGCTGTTGTAGTATAGAGAGCCGATGAAAAACTGAAAAAAACATCTATGTTCATCCCTATTATGATTTAATTTATAACCACCCACAGCCATTAGAATATTAGACTGCCTAGTACCAAACGTTTTTTGTAATACTAATATACTATCCTTAGAACGAAGTTTAGTGCACATTTTGTCTTTTTGAATATTAATTATTCACGTTTACAAAATATATGGGGTGAAAAAACGTTGTGGACAGTTACCTAAATATTAAAAAAATAATAAAGAAAGAGCTACAAAATTTGGCACAAAAGTTACTGGGACATTAAAATCATTTCAACACATTATTCAGTGATGCGCTACTCCTCAAGAGGATGGCCCGCTACGAGTCAGAAGATTAAAAAAATTTTAAGTGCAAGCATAGGTTGGCACATCTAATGAAACATCTTTGTTAGTAAAATACAATCTGTTTAAAGATTTAATGAATTTATAATGCTAGCTCCTCAGGGGGGTGCCTGCTAGTCCGAAGACAATCTAATATTATAAAAGGCAAAACCCTCACTGACTGACTCACTCACTCACTCATCACTAATTCTCCCACTTCCCATTTAACCAAGAGGCCGAAATTCGGTACACCGATTCTTTGGGCATTAAATAGGAAAACTAAGTAGTTTTTATTCTGATTGGGCTTTCGGGCTCCGCCCCAGTGGCTCTGGAGTTTCCCATGTTAACCTTATGATTTTTCATATTTAAAAGGAATTTCTTAACAGCTGTTTCAATTAAACAAGTTGGTTCTGTTCTATGATGTTCAATAGCATTAAAGTTACAAGGATTACCAACAGGGTGCAGCACTATAATTTTTTTAAATTAATTACTACAGCCAATTTGCAACCAAAAGGTGAGTGAGCGTAGCGAACGAAATTCAACCTGGAAGCGAGTTAGCGTAGCGAACGAGCTAACCTGAAGGCAAGTGAGCGGAGCGAACGAGCTCCAACCCAAAGGTGAGTGAGCGTAGCGAACGAACTTCAACCAGGACGTGAGTGAGCCATGCAAACGAGCTCACTTGTGAAGTTAAACGGGGCAAAGCCCGCGGGTACAGCTAGTCTTAAATGAAAGAATAGGTTAATATGCAATTCAAATTAAAAGTCTTTAATAATAGTTTATAATGCCGCAAATTTGAGTTCAAAGAACAACTGAGTAAAAAATGATGGCAGATCCCAGAAATGTTTGAACGGCTGTAATTTTTTTAACTGGTTGTCAGTTTGAGTTTAACTTTGCTGCATTGTATTTTACTAGTAAAGACCTTTAATTTTACATCTACCTTTTTTTTATCTACCTATGCTACATTTAAGATTTTCTTCCCACTCCTAGTGGGCTTACCATAAATTACTTAAAATATATTGAACGAAGATGTTGCAACGCATTTTAATGTAAAACTTATTATATCTGTCACATGATAATATTACACATTTTATTGAAAATGTAGAATACAAAGTATATCCTTATAATGTATAGCTACAGTGTCAATTGGATAATAAATGTGTGGCCTTTTTATCCAATAAACATCGCCCTCGGCTGAGCAAGCGCTCCGTTGCCGCTTGATATAATTCTTCGTAGCTAAGAAAGTAATTCTTTTATCAAAATCTTATCGATACTAAAGTTAAATTAGATCCTTTCCCTGAAACTTTCCTGCAGGTCTGACAAATCTGACCAAATAATACGTGATTTGGTAGCCGACTAACTTTTTTGTGTTGGTATGAAAAAGTTTAATAAAGTTTGTTCGGTAGCTTAGTGGTTTTTATTTGAAATAAATTAATAACATTTAAATCATAAGCATCCTATGTTAATAGTCCATGACTATGCATAGTTTCAGGATTTTTTCTCGGTCCTAACTATTTAACATTTTTATTTTATTAGAGCTGTTCGATATGGTTGTGAGGCTGTTTGCCCCCAAGGTGACGTCACAATACCTCGCCCCGCACCACCCTCACCCGGCTACGATGCGCAGTAGCACACCTGTCTTACTTCCACCATGTATTATATCATGTTGTAAAATGGAAAAATAATATGATAATGTGCTATCGTTGGTTAACTTGTTGATAAAACCCATGGAGTAGAACGGAATACAGATTACCCAGGAAACTGTGGTACGAATAACAATTCTCAAATAATACAATTAAAAATATTTTTATTTACATATTTACATAACACAATTCAACATACCGTAGATTCTTATTAACAATAGTTTTGCATTTCAAAATTCTCTGTGTCCAAATATGCTGTGCTGAATGGGATCACTGTTTGCATTTAGAGCTTTCATTTCTGCTTCTATTACGAGGCGATTTAACTCGTAGGCAGAGTAACCCATCAAGTGCTTCAGGTCACATACAAACTTGTAGACAAAACGTTTCCCATGTACCTGCAACCGAAGAAACATGTTGTAGCTTAATCATCCTTTTTATTAGGAATTATTCAAGGTAAAGTCAAAATTGTACATGTTAGCCTACGGATTGTTAAATAGTATTAAAAAAGGCATCAGGTGGTACAAAGGACGTTTTCTTTCTTTATTATAAAGAGCGTCATGTTTAACACGTAAAAATAAATAAACATTTAGACACTAAACATTTATGGTAACTGATCAGTTATGACAACAGTCGACGGTAACCCAGCGGAATTTGAGTCTAGACTGTGGGAGGTCAGTGGAGTAGGTGTGCATCCCTGATCTTTTTCCCTCAGGTTGCGTCCTGTCTTTCACTCCTCTCCAGTATCCAGATGTCAGTGTCATATATAAAATTCGATGAAAACGTGATTTGATCATTTGACACATTTTGGTGGTCGGATTTTACTGCCTATCTCAAACCCTTCCAAGGTGCTCAATATTAATCTGTCTGTCTCTAGAAAAATTTAAAATATTAATGTTGCCATTGCTATTTATATTACTAATATTACAAATGTGAAAGTTTGTGTGTTCGTTTGTTTGTTTGGTTGTGTGTTTGAAGTTCAATCACGCATAAACCACTGGACGGATTGGGCTGAAATTTGGCATGATGATAGCTTACATTCCCGATTAATATATAGGCATATTCTTATCTCAAAAATCCTTTTGGGCTCCGCCCCAGTGGCTCTGTAATTCCCCATGTTAACCTTATGGGTATTCATATTTAAAGGGAATTAAAGAATTTAGTCAGCTGTTTTAACTAAAAAAGTTGGTTCTATGATATGGAAAAGCATTAAAACGTTATAAGATTTACCAACAGGGTACAGCACTATATTTTTTTTTGCATTTATGAAAACAGCTAATTTGAACTAAGCAGCAACAAAAAACTGTGATTCACAATGAGAACTGTCAAAGTAGGATTGTTTACAGTTATGTTTATGTTTTTCATTTCATGAATAATTGTGATATTTTGCGAATTGTTGATAATTTATTTTTCTCTATTGTTTAGGTGAAGTGGTAGAACATTATGGCTATGGTAGATGTGTAATACTATAGAATACTGTAAATTTAAAAAAGCGAATTTTATCAAACTGTGTCCTCCCTTATTGCAAACACAAAGCTTGAGTATAACTGCAATAAGCATTTTATACTTATATTCCAACCCCGCACGAAGGACGGGTACTCTGCTAGTGTTAATACAATTGTGGCCTTAGAAAATCAAATGTTCAGCAAAAGATTATTATGTTTAGTGGGCTGTCGACACTTTTGGAAGATTTTCCTTGAAACATTTTTTAAAGGAACGTATACTGATGTAATATTTAGTACAATTGATCTTGTATACGCCAGATCTATTCTAAGGTTGTGTCATCGAAGGACTGCGCTCCTTTAAAACCCTAGGACTGGCAATATGACGATTTTCGTCATATGTCTGTGCTTCCAAAACTGTTAGTTTCTTTTAACATGTTCGCTGCTGACCGCTAGATGCCGGGACGGCGCCAGGAGCTCAACTAACGCTCGCCGCTGCGTAAACATTGCCGCCGATACACTGAATTACAGTAAAAACAACTGTACTTATACTGGATGGCAATTTTCTGAAATAAAACTGGGTTTGGACTTAGTACTGAGTGATTCTGATAGATAGCAGCACTACCCAGGTTGCAGTCAGTAAAGTAGTTTCGTTATCTAGCAGGAAAGAGGTGGGACAAAGCCCTGTTCTAAACGACCCTGGTGGTGATTTTGGGAAACTATATTTTTATTGTCAGAAAAGTACGTTCCCACGAGCTGCAGAGAAATATAGGACGCTCGTGACAAGCTGGCTGATCCATGGAAACGTTAAACAACAATGAACAGTGACGTTCCTAGCTCCTGGCGCCGTGGCCCGGCTGACGCTCTGGAACGTCCGTAGCGTGTTAAGCAGCTTATAACTCATTTAAAATTATTCCAAAACCAAATAATTTTAATACCATTTGAAAGAGGAGATTCCAAACTTTTATATTCATCAGGCCCGTTTTTGACCCTTTCAGCACCCTAGGCACAACCAACAGTAGCGCCCCTTTGCAATATATATATTAGGTTGTCCACCGACCGGGAAATGATGCAGGAGTTTTTTGAACCGGGAATTATGTGTGAATTTTGTATTTCTACCTGGGGTTTTCAATTTACCGTGATCACACGTGACAACAGTGACGTTTCTGTGACCGTGGGAGATGATAATTGTCTATACATGGCCGCAAGGGATCAGAATTTTCCACGATCGCAGAAGACGATGATGATTGATGTTATGTTCAGAGCCACGAGGGACGATCAGAATATTGCCACGATCACGGAAGACGATTTATAATGTGGATTGATAATGTAGACGATTATAATGTCCACACGACCGCGGGAAACAGCAAGAATTTTGCTGCGATCGCGGAAGACGATGATGATCTCTGCACAACTGCAGGACATGATTAACATTTTGCCTTGATCGCGCAAGACGGTGATAATGTCCACATAGCCGCGGGAAAAGATAAGAATTTTGCCTCATTCGTGGAAGACGATGATCTCCTTATGTCGGCAGGAGCTGATTACCATTTTTCCACAATCGCGGAAGACGATAACGATGTCTTCACGACTGCGGATGACAATTACGATGTCTTCACTACTGCGGGAGACGATTATGATATCTACATGACCGCGGGAGATATAGTAATGATTTCTACACGGCCGCGAGGGATGATTAGAATATTGCAGCGATCACGGAAGACAATGATAATGTCCACAAGACTAAAGGACATGATTAACATTTTGCCGCAATAGCAGGAGACGATTACGATGTCTTCACGTCTGCAGGATACGATTACGATGTCTTCACGTCTGCAGGAAACGATTACGATGTCTGCAGAACCGCTGGTACGATAATGATTATTATTTACAATTATGCCGCGATCACTCAAGACGATCGATCATAATGTCCACATGACTGCGGGAGATGATTACCATCGGGGGACGATATAATGATATCACGGCCGCGAGGGGTGGTCAGAGTTTGACCGCGATCGCGCAAGACGAGGATAATGGAAAAGATCAGAATTCCGCCTCATTCGCGGTAGACGATGAAAATCTCTTAACGACCGCGGGATATGTTTATTTATATATTGCCTCGATCATGGAAGACGATAATTATGTCTAAACGACCCGACCATGGAAAATAGTAAGAATCTTGCCGCAAACGCGGGAGACGATTACGATGTCTACACGGCCGCAAGGGATTATCAGAAGTTTACTGCGATCGCATGCAAAAACAAACACCATTTTTTTTTATTGTTGGCGCCCCCCAAAAACAGCCAATTGCCTCGCGCAAAGCGCCAAGCCTATTGTGCCTATTCGGTAAATCGGCCCTGATTTTCATATATAAACAAATCGTATAGCTTTAACAGATCAATTTTATTGTCTTTACAACTTGAATAAAAATTTAGGCCCGAGACGATTTTGAGTTTGCCTTGTCAATTCATTACTCATGTTTTCAATAAATCGTAGCGCATATAATCTTGCATGAAACCGGTTGTGGTTGGTACCAATAGTAAGATTTTGTTCTAGAGTTTATTTTCGTATCAAGAATCACGTGATTATAACGTCAGACAATTTGGGAAATAATATTAAAAAATCAGCAGACATTAATAGGCAATGACTAATAAATCAATAAAGGATTGTGTTGGCGTGATGTAATTATTTTTATTGATCTGTAGCCAGAAATAATAACGCACAGTTTGAAATACACAGGTTTTGTTGACAAGGCATAAATTAACTGTTTCTTTGGTGACAGCCGCCATTTAGAGATGGGAATTGTCGTAGTTTTCCGGCAACGGTTATAACGATAACGCAGCTGCCCAATAACGTGTTGCGGCAACCTGTTATTTCAATAACGATTGCCAACTCGTTGCCGCTGTGTAAACCGTTGTCCGCCGGTCGGTGTTGCGGCGTTCAGTTATCGTTGTCGGTTGATCAGTTCAGTTTCCAGTTGTAGTCTCGAGTCGGACGTTGCCGCGTTGTCCAGACAGGATGCGTTATTCTAATTCTAGTTCGTTTCAGAAGTTATCGTTGCTCTAATGCTCTGGTAGCGTTGCGGCAACGGCACTAACTAATGGCAATGCATGTTTTCGTTTTCGTTGTCCGCGGTCCGCGCGGCTTTCCTGCAACATTGTGTTGGTAGATACGTTATTATAATAACAGGGAGTTCTCGGCAACGTGTTGCCGCGATAACGTTGCTGTGGCCGCAACACTGTTATTCATCCTGTTATGTTAAATAACGCCCATCTCTACCGCCATTAGTGTTGTGCGGCGTTCACGTCTCATGAGTCTTGTGTTGGTCAAATCTCTTGAGTTGGTTTTCTTGAGTGATATGATAGTAATTGTTATCCATGTTATTATGGGTAGTGATAATATGACCCACAATAACATGCATAAAAGCAATAAGTGGACAAAACCAATAAGACCAATAAAACCAATAAATCTTTCATTTATCCCCTCAGTATATGGGACCAAAAATTTACAATAAATTACCCGCTGGGATTAAAAACATTGCCTCATTCTCTAAATTTAAACTATCTTTAAAAAATTTCCTTTTGGAGAGGGCATTTTACTCGTTAGAGGAATATCTGGAAAATGAGTATATTTGAAAGATATTGCTTCTCCCATAGGTTTGTAGCTTATTATATGCTTTATTTCTTTTGTAAGCTATTTTATTTTAAAATGTAGTATAGTATTAGTATTAGACTTTGTGACAAATCACCTGTCAAGAGAATTGATGTAATGTGATGATGTTTAATAAATAAATAAATAAATAAACAGTTGTACGCAGCAGTTTTGTCCACCAATTGCTTACAATTCCAATGAACAAACAGGATTATAATGAAGAATTAAATGCAATAAAATATATAGCTGTAGAAATGGTTATCCATGTATTATGATAGAGAAACTTATCTTCAAACATAGAAACAAGTCAGAAACATAGATGACAAGTCGCTTGGTCTTGAGCGTTTCGTTGTCACCAACGATAAAAAGCAAGCAACATTTCATAATCACAAATTTTGCCACTAATACTAATCATTTACCCATAATTTACTAGTAAATCTTTGTGTTTTATTGTTACTAATGTGTTGTTTTGTTTAGTGAGTGATTGTGATAGGAATCATTATTCCAATCAACGATCAGGATTATAATGAAGAATTAAATACAATAAAATATATAGCTGTGAAAAATTCACGTACAGTTCAAGGATTTTTTCCTGGTCATTGTAATTTACGTACGATTGCTGGGTTTAAAGGTCAGATGAATACCCTGGTCTGTTAGTTGACAATGTCATTACAATGAGATAAACAATTAAATTGATTGTGTTGACATTTTGTTTGCCTCAGCTGTCATTGCTAAGTCACAAGGGGGCTTTTCCTCACAGAGACAGATCCTCAAACAACATCATTTGTCTTAAGTAATAAAATAAAACTAGTATGTGACTACACCTCATATAAAATCAGTGGCTGACTTTTACACTCTTTTAAAATAACACTTAATATGCATTAGCAATCCACTTTTTGCAAGATTTTGGTGTTTGTGTGTACCTTGGCAATCATGTCACCGTCGTAGTAGTAGCGCAGGGCTCTGCTTAGTTTTTCATAGTTCATATTCGGTTTATTTTTTCGCATCCCCCACAACTGAGCCACACGCTCTGGTTCTTTAAGCTTAAACTCCCCCTCGGCTCCAAGCCACTGGATGCACTCACGGTGATTCTTGTCTGTGAGCAAATCCAACAAGAACTGCCACAGCTGCACTTGTCCATTGTTACCTGTAAAAGACACAGAATATTACAGGAATGCTTCCCTTTGAAACTGAAAATAAATTAAGTGACTGCAACGCTGAATCAACAAAGATAGTGTAGTTTTTCCCACAGATAGATTGCTGCAACACATCCCACAATGTTGGTTGCTAACATTGCCAATTCAATGACATGGTCATCTCCCGAGGACCAATATTCAATAGTTTACTTTCATTGTGGAAGCCTTTCATCAAGATTATGAATGAATTTCAAATGCTAAAAGATAAAAACAACTAAGTGCTCTACAAGTTTGATTATTTTATAACAATAATTTTTCAAAGATGTTGAGACTAATTTTTCTACAATGAGCGAAAAATACCTCCGCCGCAGCAAACCTGCAGACTAAGCGAATTTCCATATTTGCCTAATTAGATTTACACTAAAATATCCCCTTAAAAATATTACACATATTCCCTTTTAAAATAGCATTAGTTTAACAAGTACTTAGGTTTGCTGCAAAAGGGAGAGTTAAAAAGTGTTTTTTTTGTAAAATTGTAATATGTAGATTAGTATGAAATACAGTGGCGTAGCGACCGTGGAGGGGTCGCTCCAGGGCGGAAAGCTCTGGGGTGCGGTACTCCTTCAAGAAAATCAAACTTTTATTTTTTTATTTGATATACATATAAATACGAAATTAAAGTAAGATTATCTCTAATCAGGTATATTTAAAAAATGAATACTATTGGTCGCTGCCGGCCCGACCAAACGCGTGAGCGCTCCGTGACGGTAAGAAAATAAATGTAATGTTTTTTTACGTGTGTTCTGTGTTTTATGTTTTAAATTGATGACGAATCTGAGAAGAGGATAAACCTGAGGATGTGGCAGTCGCCATGAAACATGAAGTTTGTCTACCAACACTAAACAGGATATTGTAAGGTAACAAAATAATTTAATTAATATAAAGCAATATCCAGAAGTAGGACGATGAATTCTATATTGTTGTTTTCACAATAGTTTTTACTTATTTGTTTTTAGCGAATTTCCCTATAGGGAAGTAGCTATTACCGTAGGTCTCATGGTAAGACCTAAGCCCGGGACCGATTTACTTTTTCATTTTGATGTCCCCAGAGGCCAAAAACACCATTCGTTCAAATTTTTATATATCTATATATAGAGATATATATATATGTGTCCATCTGCACAATATTGAGTAATTTTTGCCCGATTATGATAAAACTTGGTTTAAAGGTGTAAGGCGGGATAAACTTGAATGAGTTCGCGAACCAGCATGATCGGACTATGGGAACGGGGGTTTTATGGGGTAAAAATAGGTTTTTCCCATTTTTGGCCCTAAAAACACAAAATTTCACAATTTCTTTTCAAACCATTTTGTAGAGCTTAAAAAAACAAATAATTTAGTATATTGAAGCGTTATTATGCGCCTAATTGTTACGGAGAAATTAAAAAAATTGTAATTTTAAAATTCCCATGTTATTCTTATGGAGAATAAGTCAACTGTTGTAGTTTGCTTGTTTATGAACATATTTTGATCAAATTTGGAAAATACATTAATTTCTTACTAAACCACAGTACCTTTTAATATTTTACATTAAAAAAAACTTTTTTACCCTCCCTGTTGCAGCAAACCTAAGTACTCATTAAACTAATTCTGTTTAAATAGGGAATAAATGTGATATTTTTAAGGAGACATTTTAGTTTAAATCCAATCAGGCAGATGGAATTCGCTAAGTCTGCAGGTTTGCTGCGGCGGGGGTATTTTATTTTTTTAGCGAATTTCCCATATAGGGAATAAGCTATTACCGTAGTACTCATGGTAAGACCTGGACCCGGGACCAATTTTTTTTTTCGTTTTGAGGTCCCTAGAGGCCAAAAACACCATCCGTTCAAATTCATATATATATATATATATATGTGTCCGTTAGCGCGATAACTCGAGCAAAAATGATCCGATTTTGATGAAATTTAGTACAAACGTGTAAACCTACGTTTATTCGAACGAGTTCGCGAACCAGCATGATCGGCCCATGGGAACGGAGGTTTATGGGGGCTTTTATGGGGTAAAAATGGGTTTTTCCAATTTTTGACCCAAAAAACATAAAATTTTGCAATTTCTTTCCAAACTATTTTGTAGAGCTTAAAAAAACAAATAATTTTGTATATTGAAGCGTTATAATGCGCCTAATGGTTACGGAGAAAATTCCAAAAAATTGTTAATTTAAAATTCCCATGTTATTCTTATGGAAAGTAAGTAAACTGTTGTGTTTTGCTTGTTTATTAAAATATTTTGCCCAAATTTGGAAAATGTTTTTATTTCTCACTAACTATTAACATTTAGCATAAAAAAAAACACTTTTACCCTCCCTGTTGCAGCAAACCTAAGTATGTGTTAAACTGATTCTATTTAAATAGGGAATGAATGTGATATTTTTAAGGAGACATTTTAGTGTAAATCCAATCAGGCAAATGGAAATTCGCTTAGTCTGAAGGTTTGCTGCGGCGGGGGTATTTTACTTTTTTCTTAAGGGCTGGGTAAAGAATTTTATCATTATGCTGCAGCATTAACAGCTGTTTTCAATAGGTATTGTACTTACGTTTAGGGGCTAAATTAGTCTTTTATTTCCTCCCTATGAAAAAAAGAATCAGCTGATGTTAAGGATATTAGCTGTACATTTTAATAGCTATACAAGTCATCCTCTGGTTTTGCCGAAGAAAATAGTCCTTATTGGCAAATATGGTATTTTTTTCAAAATTTGCTTGCATTTATCATTGTGTTATATTTTACTACTAAAATACCCCTTTATCGACATGTAGGAAAATGTAAATGTAAAAGAATTCAATTAGACATATGAATTTATAAGTGTTTTAGTGGAGTAATACACAAATTCATCTATTTAACAGAAACAAATGTTCCACAAAACCATTTATTCCAACAGTTTTATCATCAAAATAAAGAAATAGGTAAGAAGGCTGTATGTTAATTGGTGTCCTTACATTAATATATCACTATTAAACAGATTTTTAATAATATAACCAAATGTTTCTAGGACGACACATCGTCGGCTAAATCTAACTTCAAAAAGCAGTGTCGCTGGTGAGTCAATTAGGTTAGTTGCATTACGAAATATTCCCAAATTTTCCTTCTGTCACACTGCGTCTGGTACCGTGACCGCGATGGAATATCCGTGACCGGAAAAAATAAAAGTGACCGAAATGGAAAAAATGTGACCGTAAAGGAAATTACATGCTATAATAACTGTTTTAATACTAATAAATTGGGCATAGTGTTTTTAAAACAAAAAATACAAATTTGAATTAAGTTATCTTGCATTTCATTGTTTATAGACATTTTGCACAATCCTATAATGTAATGAGTACTGTAACTGTTATTTTTAGGGTGTATAACTGTATAACTAGAGGTGTGCAAAGCATCAAATTGAATCAAATCAGAAATTCGATTTGATGTATCGAATCACGAATCGATTCAGTGGTGGTTACAAAACTATTTGATTCAAGGGGCACTAAACTAAACGCCTGCAGAAAGTCAATGCAATACCCGCAATACAGCAGTGTGTTGCGTTTCCTTTACGAAGGCGTTTATTTTTAAATTAATTCTTTGAATGTAAATATTGCTTTGATTATTTTATAATTTTATGTTGTTTTTATGTATGTAATTTTATGTATAATTTTATGACATAGCAATGTATGACAAGTTTTGTTAAATGTAAGCAGTGTGAGACATGTTTTACTACTGTAAACATAGTGAAAATAAGTCACTCCAAAATCATTCTAAAAATAACACAAGTCTGAAAAATTAGTTCAGTACTTTAGTAAGACTGGTGTTATAGACTGATAAATTTGGTATTTTTGTAGGTCTGAAGCTATGTATATCTTGTAGTTTTTAGGTATGATTCTAACCTCTCATTTTATCAATGTAAACCAATTTAAAGTTTCAGTATAAATCTTACAAATGTATCAAAAGATATGTTTGATTTGTTAACACCAAAACATATCTTTATTTGTAAAACCAATATTATAAAATAGGTAACTTAACATGATTAACAATATGATGTAAAAATAATGCAATAAAGTAAAAATTATGAAATAGGCAAGTAAAGCAGGTCACTGACATTTCCAGCAATACAGGTTCTTCTAATATACGATTGAAATTAAATATCTAATTCCCTAAAATGCATATATTGTATGAATATGCCTAATACCGCACCAACAAAAATCTGCATCACAGTAATGTGGTAGAATTTAATTATTTTTATTTCACTACATTGACAAGTATGAATAGAAAAATGCCGTATTGCTTCGAATCGAGTTGCATCAATACAAATTGAAAATCTTTTAAATCAAATCAAAATTTTTTGCTTTTTCGCACACCACTAGTAATAAACAATTTTATTACAAATATAAACTTAGTTTAGTAGTTGTCTGCACGATTTATCCACATCATTAAATCATTTTTTTGAAGATGATTCTGTTAGTAGAATTTTTCCCGGGAAGAGAGATGTTATAAAAAAGGGTAGAACCATAAAACAACGTCACGTACTACTTGATACTCTGAAAAATGTACACATCAAGTTGCAGGAAGAGTTAACCCTAGAACTGCCTTCTGCTGTTTAAACAGCAGTTTCAAGTGTGCGCCAGATGTCTATTTTTTTTAAACGCTTATTAGGCAGTGAAAATGATCCAGAAGCGTAAACATTTTGATAGCGTTGAAAAGAGGAGATTCTAAACTTCATTTTCATATACAAACGAACTTCGTAGCAGTATCAGATCAGTATAACTGCTATTATAATTTGAACAAAATTTAGCGCACGAAACATTCTTGAGTCGCGATCGGCAAATCTCGTAAAACATGTGTTCTTAAAAAAAAAAATGTGAAGTCTTTATTTTGGCCCAAACAGAAAGCGGTTTGTAACATTGGAAAGAACATTGAAGAACTTTGTCATACGTTAGGAAGTCTGAGAAATAATTTTTTTAAATCAGCTGTTTTGTCAACT